CTACTCTCTGTGTAACTCTGACTTTCAAATAAATAAATCTTAAAAAAAAAGATTGTGATATTGTGATACCCAGGAGCAGGGCTCAGACACCTCCACCCCCACACACTTGCCAAAAGGACTCATCCTACCAAGTATCAAGAACTTAGAAAGAAGAGATGTGGGTCTGGGGGTGTGGAATCCAAGAATCACTCCCCCAAACTGGGCCACTGGAAGCAGGAATTAGGACACTGAATATCAACTTCTACTTCTACAAAATCATTCAAGCAACATTTGTGGAGTACCCACTGTTCACAGGGCAACATGCTAAGTCCTGGAGGGAATTACAAAAGAACCAAAAAGCAAGGATGTTTTAGCTTTCACAGAGCTTCTGGTCTAATGTGGAAGATGAGCAAGGCACACTGTCAAGCAGCTTCCTTATTGTCTACAAGAATCATTCATTTATGCAATCAACATCCAAAGGGGCTCGCCACCAGCTAGCACAGTGGTAGGGACTGAGGTTACAAGGGTGAAAGAGAAGGAGAAGACATGGTTCCCTGCCCTGAGATGCTTATGGTCTCAGGGAAGACGCAGAGAATGATAGAGCTTTGAAAGTGCTTCAGAAACCAGAAGGTATCTGGGAACAAGGGCAACATCTATCTTCTCACCACAGTGTCCTTGGAGGCTGCAGAGGGCCTGGCTAATCTCAGTGTGCTCTTTCATTTGTGCAGGCACAAAGCCTCCCCAGCCTTGAAGAGTCTGGCCATCTGGCAGACAGGGCACTGTGCCATCTAGAGTACAGTCCTACACCCTTCCCGAGCCCTGCGAGGCTGCAAGCCTGGCCAGCAGGCCCAGGCCACCTCAGAGAGGACATCCCTGCATCTGACTCAGCTCTCCTCTGCAACTAAACCCTCTTCTGATACCACCTCTTCCCCAGCCCTTCCCTTGGTGGGTGGGATCATGCACCCTGATCCTCAGCTGTGATTCTTGTCCCCTTGTAAATAGGCAGATGGCACAGAACCGGGGTACTGATGAGGCCTGACTTTGTCACCAGTGCCCCGAACCCCCTGACCCTCTCTACCAGCAGGTGTTATAATCAGAGCCTTGTAGACAGTGCACACTGGACTCCTCAGCCTGTACCATTTTCCCCACCTTGCCCTATCTTTTCCCTCCCATCTCCTGAGTCTACTTACTGATGTCCTCCCTGGGCTTCCTGGCATGCAAGTTGCCCTGGGTTACAACAGTCCATTTCCAGGGCAGCCTCCTTTCCTAATTCCCTCTCTCTAGATGTACTCACAACCTCTCTCTCCCCTGAAGTCCCAGACCATAGCACCTGTATCTCACTTGGACATTTTTACTTTGCACCACAGTAGCTCATGGACCTATTATCCTGTCCATTAGGCTGTAAGCCAAACACGTGTCTTTTTTATCTTTGTATGCCCCCAAGGTCACTACTGGGACAACTATACCTTCAAAAACGATTTGCTGAGTAGGTGAAGAAAACATAGGAAAAACACCAAGTACAAATTAAATGGGGGTATAATAATCTCCCTGACTCTCTGGCCCCATTCCACTCAGCTTACACAATCACCTCTGACATTAATCGTTCTGAAGCAAAGCTTTTCTCATGCCAAAAGAAATCAATAGCTTCCATTGCCTGCTGCATTAAATCCACACTCCTCAACTTGAATCAAGTCTGCTTTCACCCCTTTTGCCACATCTGGCCTGATTCCTACTTGCTTAGCCCCATTTTCTGGTACTCCCTCTCCTTTGTTCCATCTCTGCCACTAGCACCCATTAGACCCTTTTCTTGTGTCTGTGTCTAAATTTCTTCATCCTGGAAAGTTTTCTTTTCCTATTCTCATCTTGCCACCTAGTATAGTTTGCTCTTGGTCTAGCTCAAAATCAGTGTTAAAATATTTTAGGATGGGGCCGGCGCCGTGGCTCAATAGGCTAATCCTCTGCCTTGCGGTGCCGGCACACCGGGTTCTAGTCCCGGTCGGGGCGCCGGATTCTGTCCCGGTTGCCCCTCTTCCAGGCCAGCTCTCTGCTGTGGCCAGGGAGTGCAGTGGAGGATGGCCCAAGTCCTTGGGCCCTGCACCCGCATGGGAGACCAGGAAAAGCACCTGGCTCCTGCCTTCGGATCAGCGTGATGCGCCGGCCGTGGCGGCCATTGGAGGGTGAACCAACGGCAAAAGGAAGACCTTTTTCTCTCTCTCTCACTGTCCACTCTGCCTGTTAAAAAAAAAAATTTTTTTTTAGGATGGGAAATGCCATCATCTAAACCTTGTGAACAGATTTTGTATAGCATGAAGTAAGTCTTCATAAGGCCTGGAGGGGTGACCTGCACCCTTATTTGAGGGAACCATGTGGCTGGACAAATGAAAACAATGGCCCATCCAAGGTTCTTGTGGGGAGACCTATGGGGAAGCTTGCAGCTGAAGGTGGACATTTTGAGGCTGTTGCTGTGGCATAGTAGGTTAAACCTCTGCTGGTGGCGCTGGCATGCCAGATAGGTGGTAGTTGGTGTCCTGGCTGCTCCTCTTCCCATCCACTCTCTGCTTATGACCTGGGAAGGCAGTGAAAGATGGCCAAGGGCTTAGGCCCCTGCAACAGTGTGGGAGACCCAGAAGAAGCACCTGGCCCCTGACTTCAGATCAGCCCAACCCCAGCCATTGCGGCCATTTGGAGAGTGAACCAGTGGATGGAAGACCTTTCTCTCTGTCTCTCCATCTGTCTCTGTAACTCTTTCTCTCAAATAAATAAACCTTAAAAAAATAAAGTGAGGCCAGCACTGTGGCATAGCAGGTAAAGCTATCGCCTGCAATGCCAGCATCCCATATGGGTGCCGGTTCTAGTCCCGGCTGTTCCACTTCTGATCCAGCTCTCTGCTATGGCCTGAGAAAGCAGTAGAGAATGGCCTATATGCTTGGGCCCCAACACCCATGTGGGAGACCCCGAAGAAGCTCCTGACTCCTGGCTTCAGATTGGCCTAGCTCTGGCCTTTGTGTCCACTTGGGGAGTGAACCAGCAGACAGACCTCTCTTTCTTTCTGCCTCTGCCTCTCTGTACCTTTTCCTTTCAAATATTTTTTTTTTAAAAAAAGTGGACATTTCAGGCTGAGAAACAAAGTGTTCTCTTTCATAACAGTTGAGTAGGAGTAGGGTAGAGAGGTGGAAAACATACTTGAGTTGCAACAAATTTAGCTGATGCTGTATCTGAACTTGAGTTTGTTCCTGCAGGATGTGAGATTTCTTTATTGAGAGTTGCTGACTGATAATAAAGGCAAACAGTTGTTACACACTTACTATAGTCCAAGGCAAAACCCAAATCCTTGCAAAGATCAACTCCTATGATCCTCATAACAATTTTATGATTTTTCAGACGAGGGAAAGATGGCTTGGAGAAGTTAAGAATCATTCCCGGCAAATAAGAGGCAGAGCCAAGATTTGAGCACCAGAAATCTGACTCCATATCCTCTTAACCACCACCAGGGTTTTCATATGCTTTGTAAATATTTCAACCTTTCACAATTTCTTTTTTGGGTTATGCTTTAAATTAGTATGGCATTGTATGCTTATTATTTGAAGGTAGAAAACTCAAAACCGTTTTACTGCTATGGATGTCCAACCACATTTTGCCAACTTTGCATATGCTATCTTGCATTATTTGCTTAAGCTTCATACACACAGGTCATAGTTCCCCCAGGGAATTTGGAGGGTTCATGAAAGCAGGAATTGTTTTCAACTTCCACTCTATCTTCCACAGTAAACCCAACTGTATTGTTCCTAAATACGAATTGACTTTGATTAAACTGGTACTACAATGACATTACCCTCTGAAGTAAAGCAAAGCTAGTGAAAATATATAGAAATACCCGTGTAGCAGATTTCTAGAACTTTCGGGGGAGGCTGAAAATGGCTGCTGATCACTGCAAATAGAAAAACATACCAACTAAAAAGTAATCCTGCTGTAAAAACACGAAACCTGTAACTGCAGACCCCCAAGGCATATATGGGATTTGAATTTTAAAAAACACCAAGACGGAGCCGTGTTTAATCTAGGGCTTTGCTGTCTAGGGAACTCAAATGCCGGTGGGCAGAATGTCCGGCTCAGAGGTGATTATAACCCATGCTTTGGCTCCCTCTGTTGGCAGTTTGCTTTTTCACTTGCAGGAATTCTTGGGTCAAGTTGTGCTTTGGCTGCTGTTTATAAACTCTGAGGTTTATAAAGAGGGAAAACTGGCTCCTTCTCCCCAGATGGCATCTAAACAAACATTTCCATTTCCTTTTCTGCTAAGATGGGCCTCTAAAGCCAGGCTCACTCTAAACTGCTATTGTTAGAGAACCGCCACACACTCAGCACTCCTCTGGCTGTGACTGTTCCCAGCCTTCTGATGGTGGGGCATGCGCAGTACCTCCTGATCGCTCACAGGCTGCTTCCCACAGGTCTGATTTCCCCAAACTCGCTGCTAACCCTGAATCTTGGAAGTTTTCCACGACACAGAAAGAGGTCACAATCAGCGGAATGAATCAAATATCTAAAATTCTTCGTTCGATTCACTAAGTGGAACTGATAACATGTGCATCCTTCCTTCCCAGAACTTGGAGAGATGAGTCTGAACTGCTGCTTAGCCGTATCTGTGACTCCTCATCATTCGAGATTTGGCTCCAACACCCCCAGGCAGAATTCCTTTATGGTTTTCCCACAGGGACGCTGAGCATCTCTTCCCCCTTTGGGCTGTGAGAAACCCCAATGATCAGTGGATCAGTGCCTGGTGCATTGCAGCATTCAGTCAAGATTTGTTTAAATACTGCTAAACACGATTTTAAGCCATCTTCTACTTTAAGGCCTAATTTCGTCCATTGTGAGAATTCTTCCTGCGTGCAATGCAAAGACATTTGTTTTATATCATGAGAGGGGGCATAACAACATTACACATAAAATGCTTGCTTCCAAGGAACCTTGTTTATGTGCGGGTGGAAAGAAACAGGCCTGGTATCAATCAGGGCCCTTTCACTTACTGTTTGTCGAGGCAGTTCACCATTAGGGTCTGTGCACGCTGTCGCTGCCTGTGCCAAGAATGTACAGCTCTGATCAACTCTGTACTTGGGCCATTTCTCAAGGGGTTGTGTTCGTAGCGTGCAGTCTTGAGGGATGAGGTAATGTCTCTGCATGGAACAAAGAACAGGCTTGCTACCGCTGCTCACTCTCAAATCGTGGATTCCCTAAGCTCCGCGTTCCTCTCCTGAAGGCAACCTATTTTGTGTGCAAGCAAAGCCTCGGGACCCACATGCATCTTTCCTGTAAGAATCGGGGTAATTTAGGTAATCAACACAAACCTGCCAATGCTCTGGTTAATTTTGTTACAACAGTCTCTCGTCTCTGACCCGAGTGTAGTGTGTTCTGTCAGCATTCCCGAAACTGTGAAAGCTAACACTCTCAGACCTTTCACAGATCTCCACACTCACCAGCTGGGTGCCCCTACACGGCTGATTTAACCTCTTTCGGCTGCAGTTTTCCTTCTTTAAGAAGGGGACGATAGCACCCGCGCCAGCACGGCTGCGGGATTGTTAAACAAGAATGCAAAGATCCCAACCACGCCAGGCTCTTCCTGGGGTGAGCACTTTGATGCCTGGTGACTCCGGGCAGGGAGGAAAACCACAGGGTGGGCTGAGGCTAGCCCGCTTCGCTGCAGAAGTGGGCGGTGTTGCAGCCTGAGGAGCGCGCCCCGCGGCGGCTCGGCGACGGCTGTGCAGGCGGCCGGCAGGGCCGCGCGCTGATTGGAGCGGCGAGCCAGCCACCGTTCCGCGCTCGGCGGCGGTTGCGTAGCAACCACCCAGCTTTCATTTACATAGTCTCTTTCGAGCTGCATCGGGGTCGCGCTTGTGGGGTTTAGGGGGCACTGGAGACCCGCTGCCCGTCCCCCACCCCCCACCTCTCGGGGTCGAGCCCGCCGCGCCCTCCTTAGCAGCAGCACCAGGAAGCCCCGCGGCGGCGGCGGCGCTCGGGCGCGCGCCCTCGACCTCACGCGCCGGCACACGCATGCTCGCAGCGCTCCCACGCGCGCCGTCCCCCTCCTGGCTGCCGCCCACGCAGCCGCGAGCCCCGGGCGCGCGGACAGGGGCGGCTGCGCGGCGCCCTTGCAGGTAGCCCCTGGCGCTCGCACAGGCTGTCGGAGGATGCTGCGGCCCCGGGGGCGCGTCGCCCCCCTCAGTCCACCAGAGCCCGGATACCTCAGAAATTCGGCTCTGGGTCTGTGGGGAGCGAAATGCAACCCAAACCCCCCCTTTTTTTTCCGAACCCCCGCGTAAATAAACACGCATAAGCACGCACACAGACGTCGCCGCGGCCCGCGCTCGCAGGGGCAGGTCCGGGCTGCCGGCCGCGAGGGAAGAGCCGGGGCCGGAGAAGGGGCTCTGTCTACGCCCCGCAGTCCGAGGGGCAGCCGCTGGGCATCGGCCACTCAAAGGTGCGACGTAAGTGCCCGGCGCCACCGGCCCGGCTTAACGGCGCAACGGCCGGCCGGCTCGGGCCTCTGTCTCCGGGGCCAGGCCGGTCGGGGACTGCGGCCGGAGAGACCTGGTGGTGGGCGGGGGCGCTCGGGGCAGGAAGGGAGCCGGGGAGGAAAGGGCGCGGCCGAGGTTCGTACGGCTAGGCAGGGGCGGGTCGGAGACGGCCTTTGGCTGCTCTCCGAGCGACCGACCGGTAGCGGCAGACTGCGGCGGGCTTCGCTCTCGGGGCTCGTCGGCCTCCGGGAGAAGCGAGCGGCGCCCGAGGCCCGCGTTAGAGGCGGCTGCGCCGGCTGGCAGCCCCTAATGCGCAGCGGCCGGCCCCGGCGACACAGAAGACTGAGGGGGTGGTGTGAAGGGCGCGAGGCCGTCGCCTCTGGCTTAATATGGCAGATGCGCGGAGACTCCAACAGGTGGCTCCGTGGCGCAATGGATAGCGCATTGGACTTCTAGAGGCTGAAGGCATTCAAAGGTTCCGGGTTCGAGTCCCGGCGGAGTCGAGGATTTTTTTTTTTTTTTCTCCCCAGAATTTCCTTTCTACCTCCGTCGTTGCTCGCCTGCTTTTCTTAAACAGCTTCACCCGCCCTCACCGCTCCCAGCTCTCTCCCCGCTACGTTCGGCTTTTCTCGGCTCGCGGGCTCCCGCTCCCCCTGGGGCTCCGCGGCCGCAGTGGCTGAGAGGCGGCGCGGATCCGGGTCCTGAGAAGAGCGTCCCCAGATGGCGGCGGGGAGCAAAAGGAGGCGACGGCGACGGCAGGCCCGGGGGCTCGGGGGACGCTGCGCTTGCCGGCTCACCGGCCCCCCAAACCCGGGCTGCAAAGTGAGCGCGGCCCGGCGGCGCTGCAGGTTTCCGGGCGCCAGGCCGGGAGTCTCCGTGCGGTCCGGCTGAGGTGGGGCCCGGGAACCGGTGTTCCTGACGAGACCTCCCGATTCCTGTGCCAGGAGGTGCCAGGCCCACCCCGCCTGTGGGCCCTCGGCGGCACCTCTCGTGACACAGCCAGCCTTACACGTGGTTTAAGGGTTCCACGTCACTAAACGCGAACAGATTTAAAAAAAAAAAAATGAATGGAATTGCAATGAGCAAAAACAGGTAATGCATACAAAAGACAAAAACAACAACAACAACAACAACAACAAAAACAGAATTATCACAAAAGGTAGGGGGAGAAACAATTATCCATGTTTTTCCTCTATCCTCGCCTTGCAGTTCGCCCCACAGGCCATGTGATCATGAGTTTTTGGAAATATTTTCAGATTCATGCACGTTAGCGTTTTTATGTTTATTGCCTCTGTCAGTGTTGATACATGTAATAATGTATTTAAAATGCCATGCCATGCTTGTTTCATTTATTAACACGCAGAACTGCTTTGTGCTGTTGTACCTGTGTAGCATAATCATTTCACAGTTCCTGAGGCTTGGACATTTGAGTGTCCGGTATTTTCCTATCGCCTACAGTGCTTCAGCGTCCTTGTTTATATTGAGTTGTATGTAAGTGTGAGTGTATCTGTAGGAGGAATTCTAGGAAGTCGAATTGCTGGCAAAAATTGGTTTCCGCATTGATAGATACTGGCAGGTTGCCATGACAGTCTCCGTTTCCCCCTCCCCAGCACCACGGGAGACGGCTTGTTTTTCCACAACCCCCACGCCATCAGACAGGTGAAAAATGATTTCAAGCTGAAGTGTTAATGCATGTGTTTTGTTATGAGTGAAGCTGAACATCTCAAAATAGAACAATTTGTGTTTCTTTTTCTGTGATTTATCTGACCTTGAGTTGTGCTCATATTTTTCTATTGTCATTAGTAATTTTCTTTTTAGTTTGAAGGAACATTTTACATATTAAGGAAAATAGCCCTTTGTGATATGTGTTACAATTATTCTTTTTAATTTTGTTCACGGTATTTTGTTTTTCTTACAGATATTTATAGATTTGGATTTAACAGTCTTCTGGCTCCCAGGTTTGGGGTCTTACATACTCAGATTATTAAAGGCCTTTTCTTTCTTTTAACAGCTTTATTTTTCAGTATTCATCTGGACTGTTACTTCTGTGTAAAAAGTGTAGTGAGAATTTTGTCCCAGAATCATGGTTGATAAACACCCATCCTTTTATACACTAATTTGAAATATTACTTTTATCATTTTCTGAATTCGCATGTGCATTTAGGTTCTCATTCTAGGTTCTCTAGTCAATTGATCTGTCTTAATTTGGATTCTATAGAACTGTGCTGTTTTAAAAATCACTGTTAGTTTTTAGAAATTTTCCTCACCTATTTTGAGTTACTATTTTTTCCATTTAATGATACTATCACTTATTTGACATTTGCTGTATACCAACTACTAGGCTAATTGCTCTATGCATTTTAGTACATTTGATCCACTTGACATCCCATACCAGGTGGATATTATTATCCCCTTTGATTGACAAAGCATCTGGACTTCAGAGAGGTTAAGTAACTTGTCCAAGGATACACAGCTAAAAAGCCGTGAGCCTGATGGGAACTCAGGAAGGCTGGGTCTATGGGTAAAATCTCAATTCTGTATTATCTTTTCATGTGACCTTTAGTTACAGCTAGTCTGGCTCTGATCTTAGAAGCCATTTTTGTTACAGTTGTAACCATAGGTTAATATAGTGAGAATTGAACCACTTAAAGATGCCAGGTTCCCCATTTAAGAATAGCAGGGAGAAAAAAGAACAGGTTTGCCTTTTTACATATTCAGTCCTCCTCTATGCTCTTTAGAAAGGTTTAGTTTCTTCATATAGATCTTTATTTTTTAACTTTATTTCTAGATTATCTTTTTGTTGGAATCTTTATTTTCTAACTGGTGTTGTTTGTATATAAGAAAGCTTTTGACATTTAAAATAATTTTATATAGTCATTTTCCTTAATGATCTTACTATTTAAAATAGTTTTTCAGTTCAAAACCATGATGAGATACACTGCACTAAGCACACTATACTATACACCTCACCAGAAGGGCTGTAATGAAAAAGAAAGAAACTAGAAGTGTTGGCAAAGACTGAAACCTTCACACATTGCCAGTGGGGGTATAAAATGGTATGGCCTCTTTGAAAATGGTTTTGGCAGTTATTCAAAAGTTAAACATTAAAGTCATGATGTGACCCAGAAATTCTACTCTTCATGTACATGCAAGAGAATTGAAAACATATGTCCACACAAAAACGTATACAGGTGTGATCACAGCAGCATTAGTTTTGATAGTGAAAAAGTAGAAACAACTCAAATGTCCATCAGCTGAAGAATGAATAAACAGGATCTGGTATATCTATTTGATGGACTGTTATTCATGTTGAAACACAAGTAAGCCTTGAAAACATGCAATTGAAAGAAGCCAGTCATGAAGGACCATACATTCTATAAATCCATTTATGGGAAATGTCTGTCCACAGTAGGCAAATCCATAGAGACGGAAAATAAATTAGTTGCTGCAAGCCATTTGGGGTGGAGAAATGGGAAGTAAATGCTAATGGGTGTGAGGTTTCTTTTTGTGGTAATGAAAATATCAGGCAAATAGTGGTAATACATGCACAACTCTGAATATGCAAAAATATATGGAATTACACACTGTTTTTAGAAGTATCTTATTTTTTAAAAAGATTTTAAAAATTTATTTGAAAGAGTTACAGAGACAGATCTACCATCTGTTGGTTCATTCCTCCAGGTGGCCACAGTGGTCAGGGCTGAGCCAGGCCGAAGCCAGAAACTCCATCTGGGTCCCACATGGGTGGCAGGGGCCCATGCATTTGGGACATCTGCTACTGCTTTTCCCAGATCATTAGCAGGGAGCTGGATGGGAAGTGGAGCAGCTGGAACATGAACCGGCACCCATATAGGATGCTGGTGTTGCAAGATGGTATTTTTACCCACTATGCCACAATAATGTCCCCATCTCAAATTTTTTAAAAGGAAAAATTGCAGTTGACTAAGTTGTGTATTCTGGAACTATCCACAAATTATGATTTTGCTTTCTCTTTTCTTGTTTTAAGATTTATTTGAAGGCAGAATGATGGAGAGAGGGAGAGAGAGATCTTCCATCTGCTTTGCTAGGTGGAAGCCAGGAGCCTGGAACTCCATCTGGGTCTCCCAGGTAGGTGGAAGGGGCCCAAGTTCTCGGGCCATTTTTCACTGCTTTCCCAGGCACAGTAGCTGGGACCTGGTTTGGAAGCAGAGCAGCTAGTACTTGAACTGTCACAGGTGGCAGCTTAGCCTGCTGTGCCACAGCACTGGCCCCTTCTTTTCTAGTTTTTATGCCTCATGTTGTTTCTCTTGTAATAGCACCAGCTGATACATCCAGAAAGCATTAAATAATTTTCCTTGATAATGATTACAGTGGACATCATTGTCTTGATCCTGGTTATTTAGGAATGCTTTTCCACTAAGCGTGACTCTGCCTTTTGGGGTTAATGTGGGCATGTGTGTGCATAAAAAACACATATACACATGCATTGAGAAAAATCTCTCAATAATAAATGGAGATTTTTCACCTTGATTTATTAATATTTTGTAGTACATTAATGTTTACTAATACTTGACTCTTCCCACACACCTGAAATGAATTTCTCTTCATTATATATGTGTATATATATATATATATATTTTTTTTGGACAGGCAGAGTGGACAGTGAGAGAGAGAGAGAGAAAGGTCTTCCTTTGCCGTTGGTTCACCCTCCAATGGCCGCCGCGGCCCGGGCACCGCACTGAGCCGATCGGAGGAGCAGGGCGCTTCTCCTGTTTTCCTCTGGGGTGCAGGGCCCAAGCACTTGGGCCATCCTCCACTGCACTCCCTGGCCACAGCAGAGAGCTGGCCTGGAAGAGGGGCAACTGGGACAGAAATCTGGTGCCCCGACCGGGACTAGAAACCGGTGTGTCGGCGCCGCAAGGCGGAGGATTAGCCTAGTGATCCGCAGCGCCGGCCCATTATATGTCTTAACATTCTAATGTTTTTCAATTTTTGCATATTTAGGAAGACTGACATTTATATATAATAAAATGATTAAAAAATGCAATCATGGCTGGCGCCACGGCTCAATTAGAACTAGACCAGGTTCTAGTCCTGGTCGGGGCACCGGATCTGTCCCGGTTGCCCCTCTTCCAGGCCAGCTCTCTGCTATGGCCAGGGAGTGCAGTGGAGGATGGCCTAAGTGCTTGGGCCCTGCACCCCATGGGAGACCAGGAGAAGCACCTGGCTCCTGCCATCGGATCAGCACGGTTCACCAGCTGCAGCGCGGCGGCCATTGGAGGGTGAACCAACGGCAAAGGAAGACTTTTTCTCTCACTGTCCACTCTGTCAAAAAAAAAAAAAAAAAAAAATATATATATATATATATATCTTTACAGAGTGATTCCAACAGGGATCCTGTCCCAAAGGCCTTGTACACCATGTTAAGGCAATAGAATACCACAGAACAGTTTTTAGCTGGGAAGTAGTATGGATTTTTTTTTATCATCCCTTTGACTACAGTATGGATCAGACTAGAACAGCCCAAGACTGGTGGCCAAGAGACCAGTTCAGGAGCATTTAGAGCCATTAAGGTAAGAAGATGATGAGGGTTGGAACCAGGAAGATAGTTTGGGGAGAAGGAAAAGCATACAAATTGACCATGCTTCAAGAGAAGCCAAATTGATAGACTTGAAGGACTGTTATAGAGGAACACTCAGAATGGCTGAGCTGCCATTTCTAGTAAGCGTGGTTGCTGAAATAAATCATTGGAAGAGGCAAGTTAGTTAGGGGGGAAATGAGTTCAGATTTGCATGTGTTGCACTTGAAGTCTCTGGTGCATCCTGGAGAAGTTGCATGGCTGGTAATTGGATATGCAATGCTGAACATATAGCAGGCTCTCAGTAACTATAGAACCAAAGAATGTTGGAAGGAAAGAGTTAAAGGAAGGGAAGAGGGAAGAAAAAGGAGGTCTGGGGCCCAGGAGACAGATCTAAGTTTGGAATTTAAAATTCATTATCCTGGAGATGGCACTGGAAGCTATAGACATAGAGATCATGCTGGGAGAGTGTGGAGATGAGGATTGAGGACAGATGCCCAGAGCACAGACACTGGAAAGATAGGCAAAGAGTGAGTCCTTCTGGGAGGTAGGAGGAGAAGCAGGCCAGGTTTCCTCCATGGCAGAAGGCAGGCAAGAAGAAAAGGGAGACAGCTAACATTTTTCTGAACACCTGCTTTAAGCCAGTAATTCTATATAATCCTTGTCATTTACTTATCTCTCAGGTCCTAACAAGTATCCCCATTTTACAGAAGAGAAAATTAAGATGCCAAAATGTTCATGGGAGTCACAGGAGAGGGATTAGCCTAGGAATGGGGGAAATGCCTGCATTTCTGAGCCAAGGGGGAAGTGGGAGGAGATAAAAACATGAAGATGGAGAAGGAGGTGTTTGTGTTCGAGGACTCATTTTCTTTATGTTCTTTTTCCACAGCTCCACTACATACCCCCAGGGAAGTACTGACAAAGTGGGAGCTGCCTGAGAGGTGGTGATGCTCCCATCTTACTGCTGCCAGCGGTCAGTACAGACTTTTAAAAGACCAGAGTGGGAGCAGTTTCACTCTACTTCTTCTGGAACTGGAGCATTCTATATCCATCAGCAAGTTTTTTATAATCTTACCCACATTCAATTAAATATACAATTGGGGTACTGGTTTTGTAATGAATCATGCCAGAAGGAAATATAGATGAGGCAGTACATCTTTCAAAAAGTTTGGCCTAGCGAGCAGTAGGGAGCCAGGGATCGATAATTCCATTGTTTAGGATCGGTGTAAGCTGTCACAGGAAACCCAAAATGAAAGTGGCTTTGATAGGTTTATTTCGCTTTCATAAGCAGCTACTTAATTTGGTCATGAGACCCAAGTTCCTTCTTATTCTTTCATACTCAAAACATGGCTTCCACCTCCTGTTCTAAGGTAGTTGCTCTGGTATTAGGTTGATATACTAGCCTTTGGGAGGAGATAAAGGGACAGCACAGGGTCCCACTCCAATCTCACCTCTGGAGGATTTTTTCCCCCAGATGATCACATTCTAAGGTAAAAATCCTGTGTCCTGGGTCCATAGAGGAAAGGGGGAAGTCTTGGCAGTCTCTTTGCTAATGATGCTGAAACAAAACATGACAGTCACTGGTTCTGTGACTATAGACAGGGGATATCACTGGAGAATTTAATCAAGGAATTGTTGCACTGGTGAAGGAAATGCTGAAAGTATAGGCAACCCAGAGGTTGTAGCAGAAGGAACCTCTACCGAGTGCCAGATGGACAGTGCAGGAGACAGTGTCAGCAGAACCTGAGAGTCTGGACCATCCAGGGGATGGCCATGGCAGAGCTGTCAGCCAACCCAAGGCAGAGAGAAATGCCCTGGGTTTTCCCCTCCTCATGCCCTTCAGGCATGGGAAGTCAGTCAAAGCAAATCCGGGGAACATGGCTCCTTACAGAGAGCAGAGAGAAAAATGGCTAATGGGCAGCACAAAGTGAAGTTTTGGGCATGAGTAGAGGAGCAGTGAACCATGGTGGCTTCATAACCATAACTTCCCTGAGCAAGGAGTACATGGAGAGAAGACTAAAGCCTCTCAAACAAAAATCTGTTTTCATGTAGCTGACTACAGTACATATTTCTTTCTTACCATTGGAAAAGGTCAAGGAATGCTTCCACAGAGATTTATTTCAGTTTTTTTTACCATAATGAACAAGACCTTGGTATTTCAGCACATCAGAGGATTTGAGGTCAGGATTTTAGTATTTGAACCCTATTAGTATCTGCTTTGTAATCCTGACCAAGGAGGTTTTAACTGTAAGGAATGGTAGCCAATGGGAAAAAAAGTACCACTTTTAAAAAATACTTTCATACAACAGCCTGACTGCAGTAGTTCCCAGGTAAGCTGTGATAGAACAACTTGTTTTCCATCATCCCCATCTACCATGCCCTACCCTTAATAGGAACCACCTGGCTTCAAGTGGGAAACTGGACTTGGCTCTTCAAATAAATCAATCTCAAAAAAAAAAAAAAAAAGCACAGAGTAACTGGGACCCAAACCAGGCATTCCTATTTGGGAGCTGGTCATCCAAAGCAGCAGTTTCCATTGTGTCAGAATGCATGCTCCTTAACAACAGTTTTGAAGCACAGAGCAATACGGTCTATTTTGGCATTCTGAAAACAGCATGAAAATCATATGGCAGGTGAGGAATTGGTTCACACTTTGAAAGTAACTGGGACAGTTCTCAGCTTTTCTATACAGAGAAACATTTATTGAATGATCAACAACTGGATCTTTTCACAGTTAAGCTAAAGAAACTATCTTTACTGCCCTATCTTTACAGCCCTTCACCTAGTTCCTTGGTTTTATGCTAATATACATTTGCTCCAGGAATGTTTTTATCATTTGTTTTCAACTGTGATTTTTATACTGCAAACAAACCGATCTCTCTGTATACTGACCTCACCAACTTTCTGTATCTGAATTTGTAGCTAACTATAGGCACTACCTGTCTGCCATTTCCTTCCTACCATACATATATACATACAAAACTACATAATAATTACATAACTGTTTATGTATCACTGATAATTTTTTAATTTTTTTTTTTCCTTTTATTTGAAAGGTAGGAGAGAGAAAGAGATCTCCCATCCACTAGTTCATTCCCAAAATGTCTGCTATAGCCAGGGCTGGGCCAGGCCAAAGCCAGGAACCTGGAACCAAGTCCAGGTCCCTCACATGATTGGCAGTAATCCAACTACTTAAGCCGTCATTTGGTCCTCCCAAGATACTAACAGGAAGCCGGATTGTAAGTGGAATAGCCATGACTCAAACCAGGCACTCAGATCTGGATTGTGGGTGTCCCAAGCAGCAACTTAACTCTGCACAAAATGCGTAATTTTTAAAATTCTTTCAACATGCCAGTAAACTTTATACTTCCTAAATATTTTTAAATTAAATCTTTAAGGGGCCAGTGTTTAGCACATATGGTTAAGCTGCCACCTGGGATGCAGGTATCCCATACGTGTGCCAGTTCATGTCCCTGGTGCTCCACTTCCAATCCAGTTCCCTGCTAATGTGCCCAGGAAAGCAGTGGAGGATGGCCCAAGTGCTTGGGACCCTGCACCCACATGGGAGACCCTGAAGAAGCTCCTGGCTTTGGCCTGGCCCAGCCCTAGCTGTTGTGGCCATTTGGGAAATGAACCAGTGGACAAAAGTCTAACTCTGCCTTTCAAATAAATAAATAAATCTTTAAAAAAATCTTTAACATTGAAAACTTTACAAAAACATTAATTCTGTTAAAGTGACTGAGGTTCTTCCTTTTTGCCTTTAAAGAGTCAAGGCTGGGATGGGTCCCTTGTAAACACCTCTATTTTTTATTTCAAGGAGCACATGGGTCAAGGCTCTCAAGCCTATCTGTCCCAAATAGAAATCCCTATAAAAAAAAGGGTCAGTCTACATTAATTTATGTGATGGTGTTAGTTTAAAAACATCTTCAGTAAATGAATAAAGAGGAGATATAAATGCAGTGGCTTGCAGAGTGAATCTTAATTGCGGAATTTCTTCTTCTTTCGAAACTTTTTTCCTGCTGCATTTGCTGCTTTTTCAGCCATGATCTCTGAGTACTTCCTTCGGTTATACCTAAACAGAAAAATCAGACCTTTAGGTTGTGAAGTACAGAAAATCAGACACTGAAAGTTCATAATTTGGGGAGGGAATCCTAAATCTAAAATCTTTCATGCAGTGTCACCATCTATGTACGAAGCTGCCACCCTGTGAGAGGAGTCAAACTTGGAGCTGGGATAGAGCAGTAGACAAGACAGCTACAACACAGCCTGCAATTTAGTGATAAAATGATAAAATGAGATTTTTGAAAACCTTGAGTAACCAGAGAGCCATCTACTAGGTGATGTCAAATGGCTTTAAACACTTTTGTGAAACAAAAATGAAAAGGACTAAACAAATCAGACATATTTATCTGAATATACACAATATGGTATCGACTTCTTAGAACCTTAAAAATGTTGTTATCACAGAAAATGGAATTAAAAATTTTTAAATTCATGCATATGAGATCTCCAAAAAGTTTGTAGAAAATGTGTATTATGGAAAAACTATGCCTGGATTTCAATTTTTTGGGGCACCAAAATAAACCTTTTTATTCTGGTTTTCCATGAAGTATCCTCATTTAGACCAACAGGAGTCTGAGTGATCTGTGGATGAGATCCTTTCAAGGGGTCCAACTACTTCCGTACATATACTAAGTGATTACTGCCCTTTTCACCCTCATTTTCTCACCTGCACAGTGGAGTTTTTCAGAGGCTACATGGTATCTGCAGAAGTAGGTATCAGCCTCTGTCTTTAATTAAGCTAGACATTAAAGAAACATGCCCTAAAGTATATTTATTATGTTCATGAAAATATAATAGATTCTTATTTTAAATGAGGTAATCTTTTTCAGTTACCTGAAACTTTACACATGCATGCATATACATATTATAAAATGAAATAATTCCTTTACCTTCTAAACTCAGAATCAGCCAGCAGTTCATCCACAATAGTCCTTTTCCTTTGCTTCTTAGGAATTCGTGAATGGTAGAAGTCAGCTGGATTGTCAACGATAGTTCCAACCTAGAAACAATTAATTGAAATAAGTCATACAATACCTCAATGCCAAGTTACTTTCATATTGCAGTGTAGCCCTAATAAAGTCTATTTACAGAAAGGAATAAGAAACACAGGTTACATTATACCAATATTAAAGTTAGCCTTGCTATCTTTTTTTTTTTTTTAAACAAAAATAAATCCTCGGCTGGCGCCACGGCTCACTAGGCTAATCCTCCACCTTGTGGCGCCGGCACACCGGGTTCTAGTCCCGCTCGGGGCGCCGGATTCTGTCCCGGTTGCCCCTCTTCCAGGCCAGCTCTCTGCTGTGGCCAGGGAGTGCAGTGGAGGATGGCCCAAGTGGTTGGGCCCTGCACCCCATGGGAAACCAGGAGAAGCACCTGGCTCCTGCCATCGGATCAGCGCGGTGCGCCGGCCGCGGCGGCCATTGGAGGGTGAACCAACGGCAAAGGAAGACCTTTCTCTCTGTCTCTCTGTCTCTCACTATCCACTCTGCCTGTCAAAAAAGAAAAAGAAAAAAAAAAATCCTCTATTCCGTCAACACATTGGTGCTACTAATGATTTTTCTTTTTAGTTGAGTAGATCCAGAATTTTCTGTAAATTCATAAGTACAGGAGAAAAAGTACACCAGTAATATATACTTTTTACCTTCCTAATTCAATGAAATAAATTCTACCACAGACCTATTTGATCTCCAGATTATGATAAACACTGCAAGCATAGAACCTACTTAGTGACCTTTCTACATCTGTTCATTCATCCAATTAACATTTACAGAGTGTCTACTGTGTGGCAGGAACTGTGTTAAATGTAAAATAAACAGAACTTCTGGACGCCACCTGCAAGGAGCCCCCTGTCTTAAAGAAGATTAAAAAAAAAAAAAATTAAAGCTCTAGGGGCCAGTGTTGTGGTGAAGCTTAAGCCTCCACCTATGGCACCAGTACCTGATATGGGCGCTGGTTTGGGTCCCAGCTGCTCCTTCTCTGCTTATGGCCTGAGAAAGCAATGGAAGGTGGCCCAAGTTCTTGGGCCCCTGCATTCAACATGGAAGACCTGGAAGAAGCTCCTGGCTCCTGGCTTTGGATTGGCTCAGCTCCGGCCATTGGGCCACCAGTGGATGCAGGACCTTTCTATCACTCCCTCTCTCTGTAACTCTACCTCTCAAATATATAAATAAAAATCTTTAAAACAAACAAACAAACAAACACCAAAAACCTAAAGCTCTAGTAATCTAGATTAATAAAAAAAAGGTAACAATAAAATGAACTTGAAGAGCATAAATCAACTAAGCTTTCATCTTAAAACACCTTGAAAACTAGCTTTTTAACTCCTTTCAGAAGCTGCCTGGGGATGTCCCTCTACCTTAACAAGATGGAATTAGTAAAATGACTGCTACTTCCCCCTCCATCCTCCATGGACTCTTTAAAAAATAATTTTATTTCAGAGGCAGAGTGAAAGATAGACATAGAGGAGATCTTCCATTCCCTGGTACACTCCTCAAATGGCTGCTGGGGCTGCGCCAGGACAAAGCCAGAAGCCAGGAACTCCATTCGGGTCTCCCAAGTGGGTAGCAGGGACCCAAGTATTTGGGCTATCTTCTGTTGCTTTTCCCATGAGCATTAGCAGGGAGCTGGATTGTAAGGGGAGCAGCTGAGACTCGAACCAGCATTCTGATATTGGAGGCCAGCATCACAGATGGTGGTATAACTTGCTGTACTTCAACACCACCCCTATACCCCACCGCATGGCCTCTTGCTCTTAGGCTAGTATTATTCATATACCGAACCTTACAGGTTCATTGACTTTTAGCGAGCTGACCTGGAAAGCTAGCTACTATTTGAAACACTATTTACATGGGAGCCCATTATAAGCCAGTGGTTATCTGAACTGTGTCCATACTGTTATATAGCTAAGCAGATATTGCCCAAATGAAGCATATACATTGTAAATATTCCTCTATTTTAAAAATAAACAGATCATTATTATTACCCAAAGTAAAAACCATTGAATATCATGACTTCTGTCTGTGTCATACCTGGAAATACTTGGGAAAGCCATCTCTATCATTTTTCTTATAAAACCTTTTTGGGTCCATGCTTGCTCTCATCTTCAGAGCTTTGAGATCATTTTTCAGTTCATCTGTCAATTCTGGAGCTTTCATACCAAACCAGCCATCACCCGCAGTTTTTTGTCGCTCTTTCTGAAATCCAGATTTCAAAAATAAACGTTCTAACTTTGATAAGCTGTAAGTATACATTTTAGTCCCCCCCACAATAATACAGAAGATTTTTTGAATTAAAAACAAATGGTTAAAAAAAATGGTTACTTTATAACAAAACATTTATTTCCAGAATCATCTTTATAAAAGAAATTAAATCACTTTTTTTTTTTTTTATAAACTAGGTACACTATGTTTCATAAATGAGGGCATTTTAAAAATCTACTTTGTCTCTCAGCAAGTACCTGAAGACTTGCTGGGAGAACAACACATAGCTTTCAAATTTTATTATCTAAGATAGCCCAAATAAGATATAATATATAAAAACATTTTCACTTCTGGAGTTTATATAAACATTAACTTTTTTATTCAGTCACTCAGGTCTAAGAGAGCCACTCACTCCAATAGTATCAAATAGTATTATTTTTAACATAAAAAAATCATTATTCCTTTGAAAACTCTTAGCAAGTTATTTGTTTCATCCACACAACAAAAGGACATTTTCCCCACTACATTACTAAAGAAAACATTTTCCATTTTCTTATTTGGCAGACTAAGTAGATCAGGGTTTTTAGTGGGCTACATTAAAACCCCTACAAAAGCTGGCAACAAAGTTCCTGGCCTTGTGGATAGTAACCTTAAATTTTTGGCTTTCACTCTTTTTAAGGTAAATAAAACTGTACTTGCATTTCTTAGATATCTATGATAACTTTCTTTTGAATTATATGTATAGACCAAATATGTTGTATAAGCTGAAATTTACAGTCAGACACCTCTAAGCATTCTAAAATAATACATTAATTTTCTTACCTTGCGTTTTTTCTGAAGCTGATGCTTTGATTCACTATATGGTGGGACACAGTCATTTTTTTCAAATTCAGGTGTAATGACGGTTTTCTGCAGAAGCTATAAAAATTAAGGTTGCCTTTAAAATGTCAGAATGTTATACAATTTTTTAAACATTTTAAACTTTTCTAAGTCTTAAAATTGTAGTCAAACCTGTATGTTTTCCTAAAAGACCTCTATTTTTGTGAGTTGCCCAGGATAATTAGTTTCATAAAACTGTGATTAAAAAGAGGCTTCAGGGGCTGCCACTGCAGTGCTGGCATTCCATACAGACGCCAGTTGGAGTCCCAAATGCTCCACTTCCAATCCAGCTCCCTGCTAATGTGCCTGGGAAAGTAGCAGACTCGGAAGAAGCTCCTGGCTCTGGCCACCAGGGCTGGCTATTTGGAGAGTGAACCAGCAGGTGGAAGATATCTTCTCTCCCTCTCTCTCTCTGTAATTCTTTCAAAGAAATAAGTAAATCATTAAAAAAAAAAAAAAAAAGTGGTTTCAGGATATTTAGTATTTTCCTTACTTGCAAGACCCAAGTAAGACTGCTCCTGAGCCTACAAAATGGTTCTCGGAAATACAACTCAAGCATTCTTCTGACAATGACTTCTGAAATTATCAATTCAGAAATTAAGTCAGACACACACTTCAGGCTCAGGTCTATAGAGTTTCTGGGTCACACAACAGCGGTCTAGGCTTTTTTGTCACTCAGAAAAGCGACCATAACATATGCCTAATAGATAATAAAGAGACTGCTGTCTGTCAAGTCCTATACTAGGCTCTAGAACACTGGTTCTCAACTGTGAGCAAGTGGCAATAGGTAGACACATTTTTGGTGGTGGTGAGGGGAGGGAACAATGATACTGACATCTAGTTGGTAGAAACCAAACACGGGGCTAAACATCATACAATGCACAGGACATCCTCCCACAACAAAGAATTATATAGCCCAAAACACATCAGTGGAACTGAGATGGAGAAACCTTAAGAATGCAAAGGTAAAAGACAGTAAATTAACAATTACATCACACGACAATGAATCTGACCTATACTGGGTGTCATTCGCAAAAATCTACAGTGCCATCTAAGCCTCAGACGCCATCTTTGGCTCTGGCCCTGTCACCATCTTGTACCATTAAGCTTCAATCCTAAGCTCAGCCTGGCTTACCAGAAGTCAGGTGACCAAATGGCCCAACCACAAGCGTCAGCTCCACCCCCATCCTAATGGGATTCACTGCTCCCACTTCCTTACTTCTACAGAACTATGTAAGACCTGTTCTAGAACAGGCTGCTATTTCCCTTACACATGGTGAGGCAGCCTGTCAGGTTTCCCCCACCCAACAATAAATCTTTCCTTTACTCTGGTGTCTGGTGTGTTTGGTGGTGACCGACCTTTCCTTTCAGGTGTTACAGAAGCACAGAGGAGGTGGGGGGAAGTACTGGAGGGATGGTAGTCAAAGCACATTTCCCAAGGCAGTCATCTGTGACATTTCATTGGTCTTCAAAAGAGCACGTATGTTTAGGGAATTTCAGTAGCATCCAATGGCAAGAATTTAGCAGGTAAGCAGACAAGCTAGCAGTACAGCAGCACCCTGAAGCCTCTGAGAAATCACTGAAGGACTTAAGCAGGACAAAACCATGTCAGATTTGTGTTTTCAGAGAGATCTAGCAGAAGAAAGGAGGACGGCTTGAGGAACTAAGAAAACAGCAAGATCAATAGGGATGCTACTAAAATAGCTTTTTAGAAATTTAGCCGGCGCCGCGGCTCACTAGGCTAATCCTCCGCCTAGCGGCGCCGGCACACCGGGTTCTAGTCCCGGTAGGGGCGCCGGATTCTGTCCCGGTTGCCCCTCTTCCAGGCCAGCCCTCTGCTGTGGCCAGGGAGTGCAGTGGAGGATGGCCCAAGTGCTTGGGCCCTGCACCCCATGGGAGACCAGGAGAAGCACCTGGCTCCTGCCATCAGATCAGCGCGGTGCGCCGGCCGCAGCAGCCATTGGGGGATGGTGAACCAACGGAAAAGGAAGACCTTTCTTTCTGTCTCTCTCACTGTCCACTCTGTCAAAAAAAAAAAAAAAAAAAAAGAAAGAAAGAAAAGAAGACCTAACAGGATAATTCATGTAACTTACCTCATTTTTCTTTTTCTCCTTGATCTGGGTTAGGGTTCTCTTGTTAGACTGTAGTTTGTTTGCATTGAAATTAATATACAAGCCACCCAGCTGCTTGATACTCAGACCAGGGTCTATGCTGCTGCTTGTCAACTTCAAACTGAAAGAGAAATCTTCACTTAAAGGTCAAGTCATTAAATCAAAATGGAAACTAATGAAGACTGCATTTTAAGAATAATTAATTTTCCTCTTCCTTTATACTTCAATGACCAAAAAAGAGAGGCTTTTTTTTTTTTTTTTAAACAATAGAGTTCCTGAAGAAGTGTGAATAAATATACATCTTAAACCTAGTATAGTCATTTAGAACAACTCTGGGATGAATAATGAATCTTTAAAACTTTTTGGAAACACATCCAGATTTATTCTTCAGATTTTCCATTTTAAAAAACCAATTTATATGAGAGGCAGAAAGCGAGCTAGTTCACTCTCTGAATGCCCACAACAGCTGGGGCTGGGCTGGATGAAAATTGGGAGCCAGGAATGCTATCCAGGTCTCCCATGTGGGTGGCAGAGCCCAACAACTAGAGGCATCACTTCTGCCTCCCAAGGTCTGCTTTTGCAGGAAGCTGGATTTAGGAACTGAGCCTGGGAATTGAACCCAGGTCCTCCAGTGTGCAACACGGACATCTTAACTAATGGGCTAAACACCCATCCCTTCAGGTTTTCTTAAAGGAAATCAGGTCATATAATATGCCCACAGATTATATAAATAAATAATTAAAGAAAGATGGGGAATTACCTGGCAATTCAGCTCAACTTCATAGTTGGTAAGCTAGTAAATGTATATAACTCCATCTCTAAAATGAATAAAGTAAAACTTCTAAATTATCAAAACTTAGAATATTTTCCTGGGTGACTAAGAGCACTTGGTAGGGTCTCAGTGTTTTCAACAGCAATAAGCATGTATCCATTTAGCTTTTTTGTTAAACTATGAATGGGGTGCCAGCTCGAGTCCCAGCTGCTCCACTTCTGATCCAGCTCCCTGCTCATGTGCCTGGGAAAGCAGCAGATGTCCCAAGGACTTGGGTCCCTGTACTCACATGGGAGACCCAGATGAAGCTCATGACATTGGCCTGGCCCAGCCTTAGCTGATGCCACCATTTGGGTAGTTGAACCAGCAGATGGAAAATCTGTCTTTCCCTCTCTCTTTCAAATAAATAAATATTAGATTTATTTAAATATTTTATATATATATATATATATATACACACACACACACACACACACACACACACACATATATATTGGGCCTACATTGTGGCCCAGGAGATTGAACTGCTGCTTGCAACACCAGCATCTCATAAAAGAGCACTAGTTCGAGTCCCAGCTGCACAGTTTCCAACCCAGATTCCTGCAGATGGTTCAAATGCTTTGGTCTGTCACCCACATGAAGACTGGGATGGAGTTCTGGACTTCTGGCTTCAGCCTGGACCAGCCCTGGCTGTTGCAGCCCTTTAGGGTGTGAATCAGCAGATGGCAGACATTCTGTCTCTCCTCTATCACCGCTTTTCTAAATTTTTTTTTCAATGACCTGGGCACTACATGTCCACCCACAAACCTAGGTGACTTACTTTCCAACAACTTTACAGCACATCTAGGTAGGTTTGTAATTTTGTTCCCCTTAACAATACTTCTTTGGAAAACAAACCTCACATAAATGTAGGAGTAGGCATTTAGTCTAGTGATTAAGACATTTGCATCCCACATCAGAATACCTGGCTCTGACTCCTGACTCCAGCTTCCTCCTTTTTAAAAACATTTATTTATTTTGAAAGTCAGAATTAGAGAGAGACAGATCTTCCATCCGCTGGCTCACTCCCTAGGTGACTGCAATGGCCAGCGCTGGGCCAAGCTGAAGCCAGGAGACAAGAGTTTCATTCATCAGGGCCTCCCATAGGGTGGCAAGGGGCCCAAACACTTGGGCCATCTTCCACTGCTCCACCCAGGCCATTAGCAGAGGCTGGATGGGAAGTGGAACAGCTGAGACATGAACCGGCATCCATACAGGGTGCTGGCATCACAGACAGAGGCTTTACCTGCTATGCCACAACTCTGGTCCCTCCAGCTGCCTTCTAATGCAGACCCTGAGAAGTATTAGTGATGGCTCAGGTAGCTTGGTTTCTGCAATTCACATGGGAGACCTGGACTGAGTTCATGGCACCCAGCTTTGTCCCAGCTATTGTGAGCATTTGAGAAATTAAGCAGTGATTGGGAGCTCTGTTTCTCAAATCCAGGGGGGGAAACAAAGAAAAAGAAATATGTCACACCCTGGGATATACTGATTCAGAACCTTCTACAGTTGGCTTAGGCTGCTGCTACATTTATATGAGAATTTCTATTTTATATAACTGGTAACCAAAGGAAGGATCCTTTTATTATTAAATACTTACTTATTCAGAGTTACAGATTGATAGGGAGAGACACAGACTGATCGTCCATCCACTGGTTCACACCTCAGATGGCTGCAACACAGGCAGGGCTGGGCCAGGCTGAAGCCAGGAGCTTCATCTAAGTCTGCTATGTGGGTGGCAGGGGCACAAAACACCGGATCACCTTCTGCTATCTTTCCCAGGCCATTAACAGGAAGCTGGAAAGTGGAGCAGCTAGGACAAGAACCAGAGCCCATATGGGATGCCGGTGTCACAGTTGGTGTCCTTACCCACTATCCACAACACCAGCCTCAGAAGGATACTTTTTATAAAGTACCCTTGTGGGGCCAGTGCTGTGGCACAGGTTTATCTTCCGCTGGTGGCACTGGCATCCCATGGCTGCTCCTCTTCCAATCCAGCCCTCTGATTATAGCTTGGGAAAGCAGAAGATGGCCCAAGCGCTTGGGCCCCTGCGCCCACATGGGAGACCCAGAAGCTACTGGCTCCTAGCTTCAGATCAGCCCAGCTCCAGCTGTTGCGGCCATCTGGGAGTGAACCAGCGGATGGAAGACCTTTGTCTCTGTCTCTTCCTCTCACTGTCCGCAATTCTACCTTTTAAATAAACAAATAAAATCTTAAAAAAAAGTACCCTTGCAGTTAAGTCATTCTCTTCCCTATTTATATAAACTTAGTATCATTCTATTGCAATGCTTTGGCAGTATTTCTTAACTCAAAACATACACTAGATTTAGTGTGGGGAGGAATAGTATGCCTTTAAAAAGGTAAGTATGCCTGAGCCTAGCCTCAGAGACTGATTTCACTGATTAAGACTTGGCATCTGTTGTTATATAGTGCCTTAGAAGGCTGCCTATATTTCCAGTGGATACACTGGCACCAGGGATCTATGACAAAGAAAAACAAGTTTGAAAACAAAAATACTGGCCGGCACTGCGGCTCACTAGGCTAATCCTCAGCCTTGCTGCGCCGGCACACCAGGTTCTAGTTCCGGTTGGGGCACCGGATTCTGTCCCGGTTGCCCCTCTTCCAGGCCAGCTCTCTGCTGTGGCCAGGGAGTGCAGTGGAGGATGGCCCAGGTGCTTGGGCCCTGCACCCCATGGGAGACCAGGATAGGCACCTGGCTCCTGCCTTTGGATCAGCGCGGTGCGCCGGCCGTGGCGGCCATTGGAGGGTGAACCAACGGAAATGGAAGACCTTTCTCTCTCTCTCTCTCACTGTCTACTCTGTCAAAAAAAAAAAAAAAAAAAATACTGGAAAAAAAAAGCACCAAATATTAGAGCTTTTCAATAGATAAAAGATGGGATTACAGCAGTTTATTTTCTATATTTTTCAATTTCTCTACAATTAACATGTAGAAAAAATTAAAAATAAGTTACTTTCTTCCTTTTATATTGCTCTTAACAACCATGGAAAAAAAAATCCCAACAGATAATTTGTAATCTATGACCAAAAGCAGCACTTTTAGCTGTCACTGCTGGGAAGAATATGACTAACAATGGTACAAAGATGAGGGAAATGCTGGACAGAAGAGCTCTTCCCCATAGAACCCAGGGCAGTAATTTTCTCAATTCCTATGCTTTCTAGTATTTAATACTTTTATGGTAAATTAACCACTTGAAATATCTATCAAAACTTTACTTAAAAAAAAATAAAGGTGGGCATTTTGGCACAGTGGGTTAAGCTGCTGCTTGGGACACCCACATTCTATAGTAGAGTACCAGTTCAAGGACTGGCCACTCCATACTTCTGAGCCAGCATCCCTGTTAATGCACCTCGGAGGCAGTGGATGATGCCTCAGGTGCCTGGGCCCGTTGTCCATGTGCGAGACCTGGATGGAGTTACTGGCTCCTAGCTTCAGCCTGGCCTAGTCCTGCTGCCAGTTGGCTGCAGGCATTTGGGGACTGAACCAGCAGACAAGAGATCTCTGTCACTCTGCCTTTCAAATAAAATAAATCTTTAAAAAAAAAAGAGGTAAAACTTACAGTTTAGACTTTGTGTTATTTAGTAAGTCGTCTTCATCACTAAACTCCGCATCTTTATTTTTATCATGATCTGAAGGTTCTTCTTCACTTTCCTCTTCCTCCTCTTCTTCAATGGCAACCTCTTTTACCTTATCTTCCTCTTCCAAGTAAAAATTTTTATCAGCACTCAATCCAGGAGTTGTGTCAATCACAAACAATTCATTGCCACCCGACTTATCTCCCGAATTGCCACTTAATGACTTTTTCTGGCCACTATTTTCAACAAAACACAAGGTATCCTCTTCATCTTCACTGTTTTCAGACTGCTGGCTTTCATCACTGCTTAGAACTAATAAAACAGGACCGTCAATATCCTGAGATGTGCCGAGTGCAGACTTTAGTGTGGTATCACATTCAAGATCTACATTCCTTTCATCATGGTTCCTATCATCACTGACACTTACAACTGTGGACTCTTCATTATCACTATCATCACCATTACCAAACTTTGTTAAGTCACTTGTTTTTACGGGGCTGTTTCTTTCTTCATTCCATCTATTCACTTCCACGACTGCAAATGTTTGGGCTAACGATTTCATTACAGCCTCACAATTCAGATGTGAGGGCTCTGAAGGGGTTTTGTTACGGGGGGTTGAATGCTTCTGAGAAGCTAATTGCTGAGGGCTAGCGTCCTGAAATTTAGAAAGACTCAACTGAGAGGAGTTCTCATTCATTTCTTTTCCCTCATTTATTATTTCATTGCTGTCTTCATCCAAACTCTTACAATTCTGTTTTGTTTCTTTAGGAGATACAACTCTGGCCTGTCCTTTCTCTCTTTCATTAGAATACTGGTGTTTCCGCACTGTCAGTATTTTTTCTGAACTTACGTGGAAGGAATCATCAAAGTCATTATGAATTTCATTACTACAGACATTTGATTTATTGATCTGAGAAAGAGAGCTTGCTTGTAAATGAGAAGTCCGTTTGGTATCCAAGTCCTCTGAGTTCACAGGCGTATCAATGATTTGCTTTTCATTTCTTGGGCCAATTTTAGTATCTTTCTTCTCAATTTGTGTCTGTAACTTGCTTGGCTTACTCCTGGTGGTTCTCTTAGGTGCAATTCCAGAAAATGAAATGTTTGAGCATGATGACTCAGCATCAGATACAGCTTCAGCATGTGAGTCTTGGCTTGGATCTGTTATAGATTTATCTGTACATCTTTGGGTTCTTGTAGTTAGCTCTGTGGAAGGCGCAATTCTAGAAACACCTGAAGCATGAGATTCTGCTTCAGAAACAACTTCTTCAGTATGAGATTCATTTACTGGGGTTACTTTCAGCCTTTTTCTAACACTAGACACTGGGGTGGGTGCAATTAAGATTTGCCTCCTCCTAGTTATTCTTAAAATGGGCTCCTGGGTCTCAGACACAGAATAATTTGACTCTGCCTCAGAGGTCTCTCCATCAGATGGTTCAGTTATCCCGGATAGTGTGCTGGCAGGTCCATCCTTCCTCTTTTTGGATTTAGGATTTCGAGAGATCGAACTCTGTTCCCGGTCATCAGATCCAGAGCCCAGCCTTCTTTCTGGATATTCTTGATTCCCTCCAGCAGCAGAATTCTGCAGGCCAAAGACAACACACTGTAATTTAGGCAGGGCTGGGACAAGGAGAAAATAAATAAGTACAACTTAAAAGTCCACTAAAACAAACAAAGCCAAGTAAGCAAGATTACTACAAAACAACCAAACTCATGATTTTAAAAAAGTCAACTATTTAAATGCTGGATCTGACCGTGCATTTGGTTTACCCATCTTAGTCCTAGATTTGACTTCTGGTAGCAGACGAATTAAAAAGAGAATTTTCTTTACTCAAAGTCAAATATGCGAGGTGTATCAACATTCTGGTCGATTGTACAAGAGGAGAGAAGGCAAATATTAACTCTGAGCAAAGCTGTGTTAAGAAACACACAATGGCATCGGCCGCTGCCTTTGCCTTCACAGACAAGAAACTGCCGGTCCCTTCCCTTCTCTGCAGTTAGAATGTGGCAGCAGACGACAGCAGCCGCTGAGTCCGAGGCGGCATCACCACAGCCCGCCTCACATCATAAGGAGGTGGTGCTGGCTCACTGCCAGCCTTCCCACGCGGAAATTACGCTCTTCTCCCCAGTCCCACCAAACGAGACTCACGTGTGCGGTGGTAGGAATTCACGCTCCTTGGCGCGGGGCTAAGAAGCTTAAAAGTACCTGAACAACCCAACGTAAGTTACCTAGCCTCAGAAATGCCTTAAAGGACTGTGCGAGGACTAAAGTTTCCACGAAAGGTCAGGTGGGAGATCAAGTACACTGCATGGCGCGAAAACTCCTGGCCTCGCCCCATGGGTTCCCCTCACGCTCCGCCGGACCTCCGCGTCGCGGCGTCGCTGTGCGAAGCGGCCAGGAAACACAGGGAGAAGTCGGATCACCTACCTTCTGCTGGGAACTTCCAGGCGACGAGGCTTGGTTCACCGCCCGCTTTCGTGCCGATCTGGTGACCACCATCTTCCCGATTTCCGGATCGCCCACCGGCACCACGACTTCCTTTCGCTCTGGCGCCCCGGAAATACGTCAGAGGTGCCGCGCCTGCGTTTTCCGAGCGGATTCCGGAACTCGTGAGAATCTCGTACCTGTCTTCGGCCTGCCCTCTCAGGCAGGGGCGGTTCAAGGTGGAGATCACCTCTGAACATTCGCGTTTGTGATGTGGAATTAAAGCAAGCCTTTTTCTGGGAGTGGCCTCTAAGGGAGTAGCGAAACCCACAGCGTGTGACAAAGAGTGAACAAACTGAAACCCCGGTATTCGCCTCACTTTCTGAATATCTCATGGATGTGACCCATGGGGACGTCTGCTTTCTATTTTTTACAGTGTACCACGTGTATTATTTGTGAAGGAAAGCATAAATAAAATTTTAAACTTCGTTGGACTTAAGGTCTATGTTCAGTGCTTCCAGGAACTCAGAGCCTCGTTAGGAAGCATATAATAGAAATAGATGGAGTTTAAGGGGTTCGGGATGAGCAGACAATGAAATGTGAAATTGTGAAGGAGAGCGGTAATTTTTATTTTCAGTGAAATGAAGAGACTGCGAGGTTCAGAGTATTTTGGAGCTTTTAATTAGGTTTCAGGATTTTTAGCGTTCAAAGAAGACAAAGAGGTGGCTTCTTAAGGCAGAAAGTATTTTATTTTAGGGAGAACCAGGGTTCAGGCTGGAGGGGGCACAAGGCCCGGGGTTTGAAGCCAGGCTTCATTCCTTTTGAGCAACAGAGGCCCTTCTTATGTGGCTTGCTGGGGACTTGTTTCTTAGAGTCACATTTTGTCTCCCAGCTCAACAGCGCCTGTTAGGGTCCTTTGCAGCCAGATGTGCCAAGTGACAAAGTTTTGGCCTCTTACATATAAATTAAGTGTTGTGTGGATCTTTAAGAATGTGGTCTTGACTTCTTAAACTTCACTTTACTTCCTGCAAAGTTGTCCGCTCTTTGTTTGGCATAAGTTTTGTGCCATGGGGATGCAGAGCATGCTTTCCGGATAGCATAACCGTGAGAAAGGAAAAATCATGAATTCCTTGGGGGAGGTGGCATTGTGGCCCGGTGGACATCCCATATCTGAGCACCCTTTGAAGTCCTGACTGCTCCATTCCCAATCCAGCTGTTTGCTAATGCACCTGGGATGGCAGGAAAATGGTCCAGTACTTGGGCCCCTGCCACCCACATGGGAAAACCAAATAGAGTTCCTGGTTTTTGGCTTTGTCCTGGACCAGCACAGGCTGCACCTTTTGGGGAGTGAAGTAGCAGATAGAAGCTCATTCTCCCCCTCTCCCACCCCCACCTCTGCCTTTCAAATAAATAAATCTTAAAAAAGAAGAAGAAGAAGAAAAAAAGAGTCCCTGACAAATTGTGGAGCTAACATGTAAGCTCACAATATCTTACTACTAGATTTCTTTCATCTGAGAGAAACATCTTTTTAAAAGTCACTGTTATTTGGTATTTTCTATTTGCAGCTGAGCCTAATTTTAACTGAGGTTGAATTAAAAAAAAATTGACATGGAGGGTTAGTCAAAGAATATTGCACCTAACTTTGAGGCAGGAGGGAAGAATGGATACTTGAAACAAAGAGACTGGGACTGCAAGAAAAGAAGGAATTATGGGGGATAGCTGTAATCTTTGCTGTTAAGTAGAAGGTGAGTCATTTCAAAATGAATAAGGTTTAGATGGAGAATGTGATAGGATCAAAAAGAAGGTCATAGGGTCAAGTAGCATTGAGGCTAAGCTGAACAGGTTAGATTTGAAGCAGGGGCAGAGGGTATTGAGGAAGGAAGTGAACCGTTCAAGGTGAGCAGGAGAGATCAGAGCAGCGGCAAACAGCATCAATCATAATAATAGTATTGAGCACTTACTATGGGTTGGACACTAAATGCCTTACATGTATTCACTCATTTAATCTCTCTACCACAGCTTTAACTTGTGCAAATGCTTGGAAATAGATATTAAGACAGCAGGATAGCTGTAGAAAATTGGGGAGAATATTAGATTATTCCATGTGGCATATTCACATTCCAGGATGGCTCTTCTCCAGTGAAAAAGAGAAAAGAAAAACTTCCACTTACAATCTAAGGTCAAGAAACAGAATATTAAAATATCATTGCAATGCAGAGTGTAAGACTAAGCTGAGGCTGGCGCTGTGGCGTAGCAGGTGAAGCTGCTGCCTGCAGTGCCAGCATCCCATATGGGTGCCAGTTCGAGTCCCAGCTGCTCCACAGCTCTCTGCTATGGCCTGGGAAATCAGAGGAAGATACCAAGTCCTTGGGTCCCTGCACCTGTGTGGGAGACCCATAAGAAGCTCCTGGCTTCTGCCTTCAGATAGGCATGGCTCCAGCTGTTGCAGCCAACTGGGTAGTGAACCAGTGGATGGAAGGCCTCTTTCTTTTTCTCTCTCTGCCTCTCCTTTTCTCTCTGTGTAACTCTTTCAAATAAATAAATAAATCTTTAAAAAAAAAAAACTAAGCTGATCTACCAACAGGTCTACTGGCCATGGGCAAAAATGTTCACTGTTTTTAAAAAATAGTTATTTTCATTATATTTGAAAGGTGGAGAGACAGAAGAACTTCCAGCCACCGATTCACTCCCTGAATGCCTGCATCAAGCCAGGGCTGGATTAGGCCAAAGCCAGGAGACTGGAATTCAGTCTGGGGGTCTCAGGTGAGTGGCAGGGACCCAACTACTTGAGCCATCATTGCTGCCTTACAGGGTCTGCATTAGCAGGAGACTGGAATTGGAAGTGGAGCTGTGGACTGGAATACCAGCACTCTATGGGATGCAGACTTCTAAAACAGTCTTAATGGGCACTCAAATGCTATTTTGTTGGCTTATCAAGTTTTTTGGTTTTGTTTTCTGTCCGCCCTCTATTCAAAGTAGAGTTTAGGAAAATATAATATACCCAATTTTAGGTCAGTGCAGTATAAAAATAGTATACTGTTAGGCCCAAAAGGAATAGTTCATGTTTTGCAAGTTAAACCCTTAAACTGAAGGCTTAAATCTCTCTATGGAATTTTAGTCATTAATCAAAGGATGAGAGTTTTGTGCATGAGCTTTCTAAAAAGGAGTACTACCCATGGTCATTCCCCATTATGACTATAAAATTGTATGTTTACATAAAGTTTGACCTAGAAGATGGTTCCCAATGACCTCCTGGTTTTCAGACCCTTGAATGTGGGCTGGACTTGGAGACTTAAAATGAAAAGAACGTGACAAAAATGATGGATATCAGTTTCAAGATTAGGGTAAAATCGGCCAGCTTCCATCCTACTCTCCATTCACTCTGGAGGAAGCTAGCTGCATGTTGTGACTGACCTGTGGAGAAGAACTGACACGCCTCTGACCTATAGCCAGTGCAGGACTGAACCTGGCCAGCAACCAGGCAGGGGAGCTTGGAAGCAGACCAACCCGCATGAAGCCTTCAGGTGAGACTGCAGTCCTGATTGACACCTTGCTACCTTTTGAAAAATCTTGAGGCTCCCAGATGCATCAGTAGAGAACTAGAGACTTCATTCTAAGATTTCATGTGAAAGAAACAATACACTCTGTACTCTTTTGTTGTGTCAGGCTTTTCACTCATAATTTGTTTTAAAAATGTATTTCTTTGAAAAGCAGAGTTAGAGAGAGGAAGAGGCAAAGACAAATCTTCCATCCTCTGATTCATTCCTTAAATGGCCACAGTGACCGCAGCTGGGCCAATTGGAAGCCAGGAGCCAGGAGCTTCTTCTAGGTCTTCCATACAGGTACAGGGACCCAAGGACTTGGGCCTTTTTCTTTAATGTTTGTTTCTGGATCTAGCTAGTTTCAAAGGGAGAAACCCTTTTTTTTTTTCTTTAAAAAAAGATCTATTTATTATTTGAAAGGCAGAGTTACAGAGAGGCAGAGACAGAGGTCTTACCTCTGCTGGTTCACTCCCCAAATGGTTGGGCCATCTTCTACTACTTTCCCAAGCCATAGGGGAGAGCTGGTTCAGAAGTGGAGCAGACGGGACTAGAACAGGGGCCCATATGGGATGCCAGCACTGCATGGCAGCTTTACCTGCTATACCACAATGCTGGCACAAATAATTGTTTTTGAGATTCATCTGTGTTATATGTATACTAGTTCATTTAAAGAAATTTTATTTTCATTTTCTTTGAAAGATAGAGATCGTCCATCCACTGGTTTGCTTGCTAAATGCCTGCAGCAGCTAGGGCATGGCCAGGCTAAAGCCAGGAGCCCAGAACTCCATTTCTCACATGGGTGGCAGGAACCCAAGCACTTGCGCCATCATCTGCTGTCTCCCAGAGTGTGTATTAGGAGGAAGCTGGATTAGAAATTGAGGAACCAGGACTTGAACCAGGTAATCTGATATGGGATACAAGCATCCCAGGGAGCAAGTTAACCATATGTCCCCACATTTTTTCTTTAATATTTGAAAGGCAGAGTTAGAGAAAAGGATAGAGCCATCTTCCATTCTTTTTTAAAAGATTTATTTATTTATTTGCAAGTCAGAGTTACAGAGAGAGAGAGAGGTCTTCCGTCCACTGGTTTACTCCCCAGATAGCTTCAACAGCCGGAGCTGTGCTGATCTAGAGCCAGGAGCCAGGAACTTCTTCCGGGTCTCCCATGCGGGTGCAGGGGCCCAAGGACTTGGGCCATCTTCTACTGCTTTCCTAGACCGTAGCAGGGAGCTGGATCGAAACAGGAGCAGCCGGACTAGAACTGGTGCCCATATAGGATGCCAGTAATTCAGGCCAGGGCATTAACACGCTGCGCCATAGCGCTGGGTAGCCATCTTCCATTTGCTGGTTCACTCTACAAATGGCTGGAACAGCCTGGGCTAGGCCAAGCCGAAGCCAGGAGCTTCATCCGGGTCTCACATGTGGTGCAAGGGTTCAGGGACTTGGGCTATCTTCAGGCGCATTAGCAGGGAGCTGGATCAGAGCGGAGCAGCTGGAACTCAACCTGGCACCAGTATGGGATGCCAGCATTGCAAGTCATGCCTTAACCCAGAGTTAGTGAGAGAGAGAGAGACAGAGAGAAAGGTCTTCCTTCCATTGGTTCACCTCCCAAATGACCCCTGCGGCCGGTGCACCGCGCCCGTCCGAAGGCAGGAGCCAGGTGCTTCTCCTGGTCTCCCATGGGGTGCAGGGCCCAACCACTTGGGCCATCCTCCACTGCACTCCCGGGCCACAGCAGAGAGCTGGACTGGAAGAGGAGCAACCAGGACAGAATCCGGCTCCCCAACCAGGACTAGAACCTGGGGTGCCGGTGCCGCAGATGGAGGATTAGCCTAGTGAGCTGCGGTGCCAGCCAACCTTTTTTTTTTTTTTAAATGCGACATTTGGGTTGTTTCCAGTTTTCAGCTATTATGAGTAAAGATTATATAAATACCTTTGGACACATGTTACTTCTTATGAATAAATGTCTAGGAGTGGAATTGTTGGGTCAGATGGTAGGTATGTTTTAAGTTTTAAAGAAATGGAAAGTTATTTTCCATAGTGGTCATGGCATTTTATATTCCAACCAGCAATACATCAGAGATCTGCTTGTACCACATCTTCATCAACATTCAGTATTGTCAGTCTTTGAAATTTTTAGTATTTTGGTGATATCATTATGATTTAAATTTTTATTTTCCTGATGATTAACGATGTTCAACATCTTTTATTTGTATGTATCTCATAAATACATTAGGAACATAGTAGTTCTTCATTCCATACCCACTCTTCCTTTTCCCTCTTCTGTTTAGTCCAGAAAAGAAAAAGAATGGAATAAAAAAATCTAAGAGAACTGGTTGAACATCTTTTAATGCTCTTATTGGCTATTCATACATCTTCTTCGGAGAAAGGATTGGTCCAGTTTTTCGCTTTTTAAAAAAACTGAGGTCCTCACTGCCGAGGAAGCCTCCCTGGGATATGCCACCTCCTCGCCGGCTGCTCCACTGAGCAGCATGTATTGGGGTGGCAGCAGCTCCCAGGCCCTGCCTGTGCTGGGCGGGCGCCTCCCAGAACTTACAGCCAAGGTCTAGTCTGGGTTAGGCTGGGCAAGGGGGCCTGTCTGCTGTGGGGGTCGTAGTAACCTGGGAGGTGTTTTCCCGGGTCCTGGGAGGGTGATTCAGCAATCCTAGCCCCAAGCCCTCACAGGTGCTTCCGATGCTTAGTTATTGGAGGTGGGAATCGAACCCAGCCACTCCATACGGGTGGAACTCCCTCAATGGAAGGAGTTGATCTGCACAGAACTACAAACTGAGCGTATAGCCTCTTGAGTGCCTTGTGTAAGTTCCCAGTTACTTCTCGGTTCCAGCCTCCTGCTAATATAGCCTGACCCACCCCATGCCACCCACCTGGCTTGGGCCTTCCCTCTGCCATTTGGGCCTTTGGGGGCGGGGCCAGCAGATGGGAGGGCTCTCGAAATAAAAGCTTGAAAAGCCAAAAAAAAAAAAAAAAAAAAAGCAACCTTATTGGATGTGATTTGTAAATACTTTTAACTTTCTTTTTTTTTTTTTTTTTTGGACAGAGTGGACAGTGAGAGAAAGGTCTTCCTTTACCGTTGGTTCACCCTCCAATGTCCACCATGGCCAGCACACCACGCCGATCTGAAGCCAGGAGCCAGGTGCTTCTCCTGGTCTCCCATGCAGGTGCAGGGCCCAAGCACTTGGGCCATCTTCCACTGCCTTCCCGGGCCACAGCAGAGAGCTGGCCTGGAAGAGGGGCAACTGGGACAGAATCCGGTGCCCCGACTGGAATTAGAACCCGGTGTGCCGGCACCGCAAGGTGGAGGATTAGCCTAGCGAGCTGCGGCGCCGGCCACTTTTCACTTTCTTGATAGTGTCGTTAGAAGCACAATTTAAAAAGTAATTATCCACAATTTATTTTTCATTAGAGATACATATTGCAATTATTTCTAAGTATTTCTGGCTTGACTTTCATTTAAACCTTTCAAAGTACAGAGATTTAAATTTTGTTTAGTCCAACTTATGTGTATTTTTTTTGTTATTAGAAAGCTTTGCAGCCAGTTTTAACTTTTTCTAATCCCTACACATCAAAATAAATTGCAATTTCCAATTGATAAACAGAGTGACCAGAGAGCATGACAGACTGAAAATCCAGATTTTTTTTTTTTTTTGACAGAGTGGACAGTGTGAGAGAGAGACAGAGAAAGGTCTTCCTTTTCCATTGGTTCACCCTCCAATGGCTGCTGTGGCTGCCACACAGTGCTGATTCGAAGCCAGGAGCCAGGTGCTTCTCCTGGTCTCCCACACGGGTACAGGGCCCAAGCACTTGGGCCAACCTCCACTGCCTTCCCGGGCCAATGCAGAGAGCTGGCCTGGAAGAGGGGCAACCGGGACAGAATCCGGCGCCCCGACCAGGACTAGAACCTGGGGTGCTGGTGCCGCAGGCAGAGGATTAGCCTCTTGAGCCACAGCGCTGGCCGAAAATCCAGATTTTCATCAGCAAGATTATACAGGGGCTGGTGTTGTGGCATAGCAGCTAAAGCCACTGCCTGTAATGCCAGCGTGCCATATGGGCACCAGTTCCAGTTGGTGTCCTGGCTGCTCTACTTCCCTTCCACCTCTCTCCTTTTAGCCTGGGAAAAGCAGCGGAAGGTGGCCCAAGCTTGGAAGAACTTGATGAAGCTCCTGGCTTTGGCCTGGCTTAGCCCTGGCCATTGCAGCTATCTGGAGAATGAACCAGTGGATGGAAGATCTCTGTGTTTCTCCTTCTCTCTCTTTAACTCTTTCAAGTAAGTAAATCTTAGGGGGAAAAAAAAAGTATATATACTGGAAGTTTACGAAACACTATCCTCCAGATGCTGAGAGAGAATCATTTGGGAACTTAGAATTCTGTAATGTCAAGTGATCATCTGAGACTGAGAGTAAAATAATGACATTTTCAAACAAACAAAACCTAGAAAGTACTGCCCAAAAGACCATTGGTGAAAGAATTATTAAGGACATTCTCAAAAAGTAAAGTGAACTTAAAAGGAATAAAATGCAAAGAATCAATAGAGAGCAGAAAGAGCTGACTAAAGTATGTATTGCTTACCGTCAAACAGGAACTTTCTTAAAATAATGGACCGACACGTGCACCAAAATCTAAATATATGGTCAGTGCTATAAGAAACACATCAGCAGTTTTGTTTGACATACTTGGTAGTGGAACCACACAGAGCCATATCCTGATTATTTAGGGAGTTGGGCAAGTCTTAATCTTTTTATGAAATGTGACTTTTCCAACTTTACCTACTTTTGTCTCATTGGAAGTCATTCCTTTCTATATAATGAAACAAGCTCTTGAAGGTGATTGTATTACATTTAAAATTTAAATTTTTAAAGTTTACATATAAACTGTTTCAGCACTCAGCAAGAGCTTAATATTTACAAACTAAGCAAACAAGGGCATCTGCTCAGAAAGCCTACCTCACCGTGCCCTCTGCCCCTACACTAAAGCTAATTTCTTAATGGAACCTTTCTTGCCCTCACCCCACTAACAAGACCTACTTTCTTCCACATGCCTCCAATCCTTTCCACCTCTCTCCTGTCACTAACAGACACAACTGCCTATTGCTTATTTGTGTACACATCTCTCTCTCGCCACTCCCAATATTCTACATGCTCCTTGAAGCAGGGGTTTTCATCTGTGTCCGTCTGTAACACCTTGTACATTGTGTAGCACCTAGTAGCCATTCAATAGATCTGCTAAATGAACGAATTCATAAATAGCTTTATCAAGTAGATGCTTAAAAATTTAGAATTTATTTTCAAATCATACTGTTTAAATAGTTCAAAATCAGTATAATGCTGCAGGGTACACCCGGCTGTTGAAAACAACTCAATTAAAAAATACCCAACTCATACTTTATTTCAATTAAATTCATTATAAGTGAAAGTAAAAATTATAATTGATAATGCTTTATATTATTTTTATTTTATAGTATACCACTACAGACACATAAGAAATATTATCTAAATCATTTTCTCTTCCTATTTCTAAATCTGAAAACTATAAAAATAATGAAAGCCATATTATATATTTTCCAAAAGTAAAATGGATACATTTCATCACCAACTTTGTGGGTGAAAGATAGGAACAAGTTTTGGCACATTAGAAAGTTAATGACTAAAAAAACAGGTTCAGAATCATAAACTGCTGTATCTGAGTATGAAAACATAAATATACAAGGGTTTCAATTCTCATTAAAATAGCTTCACATTTCTATAAATGTACATTTGCAAGAACATGAACTGTTGGCCATTACACAATAAACTTTAAATGCTTACAGTCTCAAATAACGAATACTGTGTAGAAAACCTAGAAACCAAAATCTACAGAAAGAGTTAATTGGGTCTTAGACCTTTTAACACTAGAAATTAAGATCCTAATTTTAGTTACTACTTGGCTCTGGTATGGAAATATCTGAACTATTCATGCAGCATTGACAGAATAACTTTTAATTTTCCATTTTACACATGGCTGTCCAAAGTATCTCTTGTGGGAACTGAAAAATTATTAGCTATTAATTGTGATGCAAGCTCTAATACTGGCCATCCTCACATGGGTCCTTGATTAAGTACTGGCACGAGGTCCTCAGAACTTACACTATGACGCCTTGGCCCTTCTGGTGACTTCAGTTTCTCGGGTGGGAATCTGAAATAGACTCATGACAGAACAAACTCCATGTCTCAGTAAACTGCGTTAAAGTAAGGCTCCAGTGTGATTTTGGAAACGTAGTCACAAGCTACAGCTTCTTTTTGTGTTTTCTAGAAAAGCCCACTTATATAAAAACTTTCGACCTTGGTTTATTGGATTCACATCTTCCCACAAAACATGTCCGCTTTCAGTTTTAAGCAATTAATTGATTTTATTACCACTCTATTTTATGGCTTCTTAAGTCCTAAGATGCTTGAAAAGTATTTACCATTTTCTGATCATTCATTTAAAAAAATATGTGAATACAAGCTTGGAAAATCATAAGGGCTTGGAAAAAAATCGGGTGTTTAAAAAAGCTTATTCAACACCATTAGTTCCAGGTATAACACTAAAACTCACTTTAAAAATCCACACAGGATCCCATCTGCAAATCAATCCATAATATTGCCTACTTCTTTGTCAAATGTTGGATGGGGATGGGAGGTCACAAAAAAAACCCTGTTGAAGTCTGGATACATTAAGAACTTAGGTGTGGGTGTTTTGTTTTTCTTTCTTAAAAATAACCCTTCAAACTATTCACTTTTCTAAGTCTGGGTGTCTAGGGTTTAAAAAAAATCAGTAGGCATAATATTAAAGTTCCCTCTTAAAATATCTTAGTTAATTGTAAGGACTTATTAGTTAATTAAGGACTTATATGAAAAAGTGTGTACATTTCCAAATTAAAAAGTTAACTACATATATTCAGTAATATTACATACAACTATTATAAAAACTAGACAGCTTTAAGAAGCTCAAAATCTAAACACATTTTAGTAAATAAATCTGCTGATTTTACATTGCAATTAGAATGATTAAATTATCAAACCAACTACAAAGCCTTACTTTAAAAAGGGTCTATTTCTATTTATTTTGAATATGAAACTGTAGCTCTTTTACATAAACTAAAAAAAAAACTGGAGCAAAATTAGTTTTATAAAGGCCTATGGTTAACAAATATGAAATACAAGATATTTTAAAAGAAGTTCTCTAAACTATTTGGGTTATATATACAAATTTACAGAATTAAGGAAGTCTATGCTCACAGGTTTTTTTATGTGCAACTTAATAAAATTAGTTTAATTATTAAACTAAGGAAGAATTATACTAAATGATCTATAGTCTCTTCTAGCTCTAAAGTTTTGGTTACATTGCTCCGCTAAACAACAGCTAAGATCGTATCCCAAACAACATTATTTAATTAGGCAATGCTGGTCCTGAATTAAACACATTTCTATCCTTTTCTGGCTTAGCCCCTCCTAATCAGGTATTAATGGAATACAAGTATCACATATTTTACTCAACTGATTCTTAAATTGCATCTCTGTGGCTCCTCTCTCCAGAGCCCACAGTGCCCCATCACATGGTAAATGCAAAACACTGAATATTTTTGAGGGAGCAGCAATATACTAAGGATGCACCAAGAATTAAAAAGAATCTGGAGGTAACAGTAGTTGCTTTTATACAAATCACTAAACAGTAATTTCAGAGCTTTTGGTTTCCTTTTTTTAAAAAAATAACAAGAAGAGAAAATATGGCACAATACATGATTGGATCATTAAACATAAACAAGGACACACAAAAAAATTAAGTTGCCATTCATGTATTGAAGAATGAATTTTATTTACACTACTAGTAGATCCCAGCTACTCCAGTTACTCTGAGATTATAATTATTTTATCAATGACAGGAAAAATATCTTTCAGTATTTCAGTTTTAACAACTGTAATTAAATTGCTTAGTTATACTACAGAGTAAGAAGCAATGAATTACTTTGGAAATAAAAAATATGTATATACATTACCCTGATGCCTAGGCCAAAATATATCTAACAACAAATTTTCTTGATTTCTATTAGTCATAAAAATAAAGGAAAATATATATTGCAAGTATTTTCTTTATAGGCAATTTCAGTAAGAAAACAATAGTTTAATGAAAACAATACAGTGGTTCATGTGAGTGGACTGATGTGGAGGCAAGAGAAGTATTCAAAACATGACAGAGAACATACTGTCAAACAACTGAAGATCTGCCTCAATGACACTGTAGAGGCAGTAACCAGATTTTTGCACATCTCAATTTTATCTTATATTCAAGGAAAAGCCAGGTTAGTGGGTTACGATCCCAAGTCATAGTTAAGAACCCCTCCTTTTAGCTTGTAAAATGTAGCCTTTGGATTTGATAATTCCTCTACTTTTCACAATGACCGAATAGCGCAATAGCCACAGTGGCACCCACTCGTGTGCTTGGATGTCAGGGATGCTTTCCCGAAGAGCCTCTTGGAAACTTGCTTCAGAAAGTAGTTCTAAGACAAACAACAACAACAACAAAACCAAAGTATTAAATCTGACAACATAGCACTCCACTATGCAGGTAAGCACTGAAATACAACATAGCTGAATATAAACGATGCTCATCTTTCATGTGCACTATGAATCTGAACCGGAATACCACACATATCCAGGCAGTTTTCTGAGAAGTATCTATACCTGGACCCTGGATAGCTGGTGAGTGGAGCCTGGATATTTGTAGTATCTGAAGATCTCCAGGGGATTCTCACATACAGCCAGGGAGAACATGGCAACATAGAAAGAGTCACTCATAATCCTGTCAGAGATGCCACATCATTTCCTCTGCCATCTCCTTACAACTGTTTTCTTTGTGTATAACTCTCTCCATATATACATACATACATACATGCACATATATATATATAGTGTGTGTGTGTGTGTGTCTCTGTGTGTGTATACAGACCTACACATATATCCATATAGATATGTATATGGACATATACAAAGGTACTTCAAAAAGCTCATGGAGGGACCAGCACTGTGATGCAATGGGTCAAGTTGCCACTTGTGATGCCAGCATCCCATATTAGAGTGATTAGAGCCAGTTCAAGTCCTGGCTGCTCTGCTTCTGATTTAACTCCCTGCTAATGTCCCCAGAATGCAAGGAATGATGGCCTAAGTATTGGGGCTCCTGTCACCCAAGTGGGAGACCTGGATAGAGTTCCAGGTTCCTGGATTTGTCCTGGCTCAACACTGGTTGTTGTGGGCATTTGGGGAGTGAACCAGTGGACGGAATATCTGTACTCTTCCCAGCCTCACCCCCATCACTCTGCCTTTTGAATACATAAATAAAGCTTTTTTTAAGATTTATTTATTATTTGAAAAGCAGAGTTACAGAGAGGCAGGGGAGGGGGGGAGTCTTTCATCCACTGGTTCACTCCCCAAATGACCACAACAGCCAGAGCTGGGCCGATCCAAAACCAGGAGCTTTTTCTGGGTCTCCCACACAGGTGCAGGGGCCCAATAACTTGGGCCACTCCCTACTGTTTTCCCAGGCCAAAGCAGAGAGCTGGATTGAAAGTGGAGCAGCCAGGACTTGAACCGGTGCCCATATGGAATGCTGCCATTGCAGGCAGCAGCTTTACCCACTATGCCACAACGCCGGCCCAAATAAAGATCTTTTTAAAAAATTCACGGAAAAATGGAATTATAAGTTTATTTTGGTGCAAACAAAATTTGATATCCATGCATAATTTTTTCATAAAATACATACTCCATGAAATTTCTTAAGAAAAGGTTTATTTATTTAAAAGGCAGAGTTATAGAGAGATAGAGACACAGAGATTGTCCATCTGCTGGTTCACATCCCAAATGGCTACAATGGCCAGGGCTGGGCCAGGAGCTACTCTTGGATCTCCCAGTTGGGTGCAGAGGCTTGAGTACTTGAACCATCTTCTGCCACTTTCCCAGGAGGATTAGCAGAGAGCTGGATGGGAAGTACACCAGCTGAGACTTGAACTGGCACCCATATAGGATGCTGGCATGGCAGGCAGTGGCTTAACCTGCTCTGACACAGTGCTGGTCCTGCATGAACTTTTTGAAGAAACTTGGTGTACATGGATTTCAAATTTTTTTTGCACCAAAATAAACTTTTCTTTTAAAAATATTACTGGGACTGCCGGCCGGCGCCGTGGCTCACTAGGCTAGTCCTCTGCCTTGCGGCGCTGGCACATCGGGTTCTAGTCCTGGTCGGGGCGCCGGATTCTGTCCCGGTTGCCCCTCTTCCAGGCCAGCTCTCTGCTGTGGCCAGGGAAGGCAGTGGAGGATGGCCCAAGTGCTTGGGCCCTGCACCCCATGGGAGACCAGGAGAAGCACCTGGCTCCTGCCATCGGATCAGCACAGCGCGCCAGCCGTGGCGGCCATTGGAGGGTGAACCAACGGCAAAGGAAGACCTTTCTCTCTGTCTCTCTCTCTCACTGTCCACTCTGTCTGTCAAAAAAAAAAAAAAAAAATTACTGGGACTGCTTTCCAGAAAATCTGTGCTTTACACTTCCACGAGCAGTTGATAACTGTGACTGCTGATCTTAAACTATCCTCATAAGCACCAGCAATAATTTAAAAATCTTTGCCAATGGATATCTTTTAACTTGCATTTTCTGACAAGCCTGTTACTTTCTAATTCCAGATTTCTATGCAAGGCCTCTACTGAGGCCATACTCCCCTCCTCACTACCTCTTCTTGGGCCTCCTTGCTATATCCTGAAAACCTCAAGCACTTACAAGTCTCTGATTAACAATACCCCAAGAGCAAGGCCTCCCTGACCATCCCATATAAAACAATAGCTCGTAACCCAGACACTCTTTCTCCCTCAGCCAACTTTTCTCTATAGCGCATATTTTAGCCACTTAATCACTTTTAACACATATTTTATTGTCTGTCTCCTCCCACTAGAATAAAAAGTCCATGAGGGTTGGGATTCATTTGGCTTATTACTGTTTCTCTGGAAACCCAGGCATACAGTAGGTCCACAAACATCTGGTGACTGAATCAAGCACTATGGAAAGATGCCATGGGAGTCAGGATGGATTGGGATTACGCAATTTTCCACTCAGTGTAATTTGGGAGTGCCGAAAGACCTGCCACCCCCAAATGCACCGCTGGGATACTTGAGTAGCGTCAACAGTGAACACCCAGCCATGGTTAGTAATTGTCACTTGCAAACACTTTTCTGAGTGCTTCAGGTATATTAACTCATTTATTTCATGTTAACCCTACGAGGTAGACACTATCAGTCTCTTCTGCATGAGGAAACTGAGGAACTTCTAGAAGCTAAGTAACTTCCCCACAACATGTAACTAGTATACAGCTTTCCATAAACAGAATGCAAGTGTCTCCTTAGAAAAGTAGTATTGACGTGGTATTGGTTACCAGACTAACAGAGATGAGGACCCTGAGGCAATGGGGCATCATCCAGGATAGAGTTAATGGGAGTTGTGGAGGGGAGGCGATTAAAAAGGGGAAAGGCCTTGTCAGGATCACCTCCTTCACAATTTCACCCTGACTGTAGTTAAACTGTACTACAACCTCCAGGACAAAGGGTAATAAAAAAATAAACCCATTCTGAGGAGTAAGGGTAATTTTAGAATGGAGGCTGTAGAACTTCAGGGGACTTATCAATAAAAATTCTATCTTAGATAGGAAGCATAGTTAAATGTTTTACAACCCGGAGCTTAAAAATTATAAAAGAAAAGACAACAAATTCAGAAAATTATCCTACTCATTGACAACATACTTAAAAAATAATTCAACTGGGGCCAGTGCTGTGGCTTACTGGGTAAAGCTGCTGTCTATGGTGCTGGCATGTTAATAGGTGTCGGTTTGAGTCCCGGTTGCTCCACTTCTGATCCAGCTTCCTGCTAACGCACCCAGGAAAGCAGCAGAAGATGGCTCAATTACTTGGGCCCTTGCACCCACATGGGAGACCCAGAAAAAGCTCCTGGCTCCTGGCTTCCAACTGGCCCAGCTCTGGTTATTCTGGCTATTTAGGGAGTGAACTAGCAGATGGAATATCTCTCTTTCTGTGTCTCTCACTCCCTCTCTAACTCCGCCTTTCAAATAAATAAATAAATCTTTTAAAAAAATTCAACTACATTAATTCTTTAGAATGAGTAAACACAACCAATTAAGAAAAACTTCAGTATGGATTAAAGTGTCTAGAGATTCATTGCCAGATTAGTCTACTAATTCTAACCAAAATGTTTAGAAGCAAAAAAAAAAAAAAAAAAAAAAACCAAAAAACAAAAAAAAAACCACTAGGTGCCAGCTTCTTATATGAGCACCAGTATGTATCCTGGCTGCTCCACTTCCTATACAGTTCCCTGATAATGGCATGGAAAAAGCAGTGGAAGGTGGCCCAAGTGCTTGGGTCCCTGCCACCCACATGGGAGACCAGGAAGAAGCTCCCGGCTCCTGGTTTCAGCCTGGTTCAGCTCTGGCCATTGTTGCCACTTGGGGAGTGAACCAGTGGATGGAAGATCTTTCTCTCTCCCATCCTGCCCCATAACCCTTTCAAACAAATAAATAAATCTTTTTAAAAAAACATTTATTTATTTGAAAGGCAGAGTTACAGAGAGGCAGAGGCAGAGAGAGAGAGAGAGAAGTCTTCCATCACTGGTTTACTCCTCAAATGGCCACAACAGCCAGAGCTGGGCCAATCTGAAACCAGGAGCTGGGAGCTTCTTCTGGGCTTGCCACATGGATCAGGGGCCCAAGGACTTGAACCATCTTCTACTGTTTTCCCAGACCATAAGCAGAGAGCTGGATTGGAAGTGGAGCAGCCGGGACTCGAACCAGCACCCATATGGGATGCTGGCACTGCAGGGAGCAGCTTTACCCTCTATGCCACAGTCCCGGTCCCACAAATAAATCTCAAAAACAAATAAACTTGGGCCTGTGCCGTGGTGTAGTATGTTGAGCCTCTGCCTGCAGTGCCATCATCCCATGTGGACCCCTGTTCGAGTCCCGGCTGCTCCATTTCCTATCCAGCTCCCTGCTAATGGCCTGGGAAAGCAACTAAGATGGCTCAAATGCTTGGACCCCTGCACCCATGTGGGAGACCCCAAGGAAATTCCTGGCTCCTGGCTTCGGATCTACCGAACTCTGGCAGTTGCGGCCACCTGGTGAGTGAACCAGCGGACTCAAGATTCCTCTCTGTCTATAACTCTACCTCTGAAATAAATTAGTAAATCTAGTAAAAAAAAACCAAAAACACACAACTAATTGTCAAAATGCCTGTAATACAAGAACATACCAAAAAGGATTAAATCTCTTTCCTTATATTCATATACAATATATTTTGGCTCAACAATGACGTCTTAGCACGTAATCTGCCAATATTTAGATATATGGAAATAAAATACTAGGCATCAGTCACTGCCAGGAGAGTCTCCCCAAAGTAAACAGATAGATGCTATGCGTGCCAATGTACAGAAAGCTATATTTAAACAACATATTTCAGGATAAATCAGCACTGTAGCCTTTGTTAGATTTCTCACTAAAGTGACTTTTTAAAATAGTTTTATTTATTTATTTGAAAGGTAGAGTGAGGCAGAGAGAGCGTTTGCAAGTCATATTAAACACTCTGTTCCTGTTATTCTAGTTATGTTGTAAAATGTTGATTTTAAACGGCAGGTCAGTCATTCTCAGTTTCTGATTAACATCAAGCACATATCTTGATAGTAATAGTTAAGAAAACACCTAATCAATTACCTATCCTAAGATGCTCATGTTGCTTCAAGTTTAATTCTATCTGCCTCTATTTCCAGGTTTTTATCCTGTTTAATTAAGTAGCTCACTGATCCAATCTTGGCCACACTAGACAAGAATATATTTATTCCTATTTATTTAGGGTGTCACGTAACCTCAGACCAGGTGTTCAGGAAATGATCGCTTCATCTTTTCCCCATTCTGTGCAAAGGTAAAAATGAAGGCATATGTTTTGGACTGACTGTTGATTATCACTATACACACTTAAATTTCAACAGGAGTGCTTTTTGCCAAATGAAAGCTCATGATCATTCCCTGTAAATGAAAATACCAGGCTCACCTTTTGGATCATTATGAGTCAACAGCTGTATATCAAATTGTTTAGCAAATGCAGTCAGATCAGGTGGCATCACACAGCAGGATGCAAGGTTAACTTGGTTACTGTTTGGTTTCACCTACAAGGGAAAGTAAAATAATGAATTTTCTACTGAATTTAGCAATACCCAAAGTAAAAATAAGCAAAGAATTACAAAACATGAAAAATCATATTCTACAGTACCTGAAATTTATAAACTGCTTCCCCATGAATATCTTCATTAATCTATGCTTTTCTAACCCATGTTAGTGGTTGACAGGGAAAGGAAAAATATCTACAGGAGAAGGAAAAGGCCTGTGTGATACTATTAAAGTATCCTGCTAGAGCCACTGAGCAATCCAATACATTTGCTGTGGAAACAAACATGAGTCCAAGTGAGATGATTTCAACTACAAGAGGAACTATGTCTTAAAGTTAAAGGATCCATACAAATAAGCATATTTAATGCTAAAATATGAACGTGGCAGGGCTGCCGTTATGGCACAGTGGGTTGAGCTGCAACTTGCAACACCGGCATCCCATATAAGCCCTGGTTTGAGCCCTGACTGCTCCATTTCCGATCCAATTTCCTGCTAATTTGCCTGGGAAAGCAGAAGAAAGCCCAAGTACTTGGGTCCCTGAACCCACATGAGAGACTCAGATGGAATTCTAGCCTCTGGGTTTCGCGTGGCCCCGCCCTGGCCATTTCAGTTATCTGGGAAGTGAACCAGTGGATGGAAGATCTCTAATTCCCACCACCCTTGTAACTCTGTTTTTCAAATAAACAAATAAATCTTTAAACAATGGCTGTTAATCAGACACATTTTGAAAGAGGAAAATAAGATAATTTCCTATAGCTTCACTGGTTAACAAATATTTTTTATGTATTTTTATCAACATGTTTGATATTGCTATTATATCATTAATGTATCATGTATTAATTATACATATATATATTTTAACACAAAAGTAATATGTACATTCTGGGTCCTCCAAGTCGCTGCAGCACTTTTTTGGCACATTTTGGCTGTCATCACTAAGTCAAAGGGAGAAAGGGTAACACTTCTTCCAGGGTTTTCCTACCTGTAAGAAACTCTGAAAAGGAAGTAGCCAAGGATGAAGTAAAAGGAAATATCATTAGGATCTTAAAACTGTGTATATGAAATACATGACAATTTTCTCCCTTTATATAAATAATAAAATGAATAAAGAAATCTATGTAAAATACTAGTAAGTTACTTTCCTAATAATTTTGTAGTTTAATAGACCAGAGAGTGGTGGCAGTTACTTTTTTTTTTTTTTAAAGGTCTGTTTGAAAGTCACAATGACAGAGAGAGATGGAGAATCACACGGAAAGATCTTCCATCAGCTGGTTCGCTCCCCAAATGGCAGGAATAGCAGGGACCGAGCCAAGCTGAAGCCAGGAGCCAGGAACTTGGTTTGGGTGGCAGGTACATTATCCACTGGTTCCCAAGCATGACTTGAGCCAGCATTCTGATAGGGGACCCTGGCATCCCAAGCAGGCAGCCTGAAGTGCTGTGCCACAGTGCACTCCTTACCAAGCTGTATGAACTGAGAGGCTTACATATCTTTAGGTAACAGAAAAGTATTGGCTATAAATAGTATTCCCTTACTTAGGAAATTACAGCCAAGGCCCAAGAATACCTAAATAAAAATGTAATATTCTCAACATGTAAGTAAAACTGAGGGAAATAGCCTTTGTTCATTTGGCTTTGAAAGTTGCAACACATTTTCTTTTATTTTTGTCATTTTTTTTTGACAGGCAGAGTTAGTGAGAGAGAGACAGAGAGAAAGGTCTTCCTTCCGTTGGTTCACCCCCCAAATGGCCGCTACAGCCGGAACCGCGCCGATCCAAAGCCAGGAACCAGGTGCTTCTTCCTGGTCTCCCATGTGGGTGCAGGGCCCAAGCACTTGGGCCATCCTCCACTGCCTTCCCGGGCCACAGCAGAGAGCTGGACTGGAAGAGGAGCAGCCAGGACTAGAACCCAGCACCCATATGGGATGCCTGCACCACAGGTGGAGGATAAACCAAGTGAGCCACGGCTCTGGCCCCAATTAGACACATTTTAAAAACCCTAATGCATCAGATAAAACCCACACTTGAAGCAGTCAGTGCCCACTATGTGTTCGATGCTCTGTAGTGTGCAGCTGAGGCTGAACGAGGCAGGCTCCTCCCATGGGTTGCTGATGGAGCGCCCTTACCTGTGCCCACTGATAGAGCTGCTCCAACTGTGTTCTGTCCAGATCAGAGGTCCCTATGGCAACAATCTTTTTGCTTCGTACTAGGCTTTCTAATTCCTCCCAGTAAGGCTGTAAATGTTCCAAGGAGAGATTAACTCCATCTTCAATAGGAGGTGAAGCAATGATCACGGAATCCAGCTGTGCCACCCCGAGGACGGAACAGGCTGATGGGAGAGAAGGTAAAGGAGAGAACTGTTACCTAGTAAAAACAAATACTTCCAAGTGCTCACAGCATCCCCCTGGATTCTGTCCATGTCATTTGCTAGTTTTCTGTCTAATAGCCTTCAGAATTCACCTTTCATTAGGACATTCCCCTCTTTTAGTAAATTCTGACTACCCGTCCACCTGCTTCTCTGATGGCAGGCAGTGAATCTTTTTCTGGGAGGCAGGCTTTCTTCTTGTCTCCTAGGCCCCAGCATTTTTTGGTAGCCTACTTATCTTCATAAAATGGTCTTCCCTAGTTCTACTTGCTCACTAGTATCTCATATGGATGATCACAAGAATTCCAATCTAATATTTATTCTGTAACTGGTAGTCATGGCCAAGAATAAGCTTGCGACTATGAAAAACTGAATTTATGACTTAATCTGTAATTTTTAAAAAGATTTATTGATTTCTGTGAAAGGCAGAGCATCAGGGAGGGAGAACAGAATGAAAGCAAGAGAGAGAGAAATTTCCATCTGCTGATTCATTCCCCAAATGGCCCCAACAGCCAGTGGGCCCAGGCACTTATGCTATCATCTGCTGCAGAGGTAGGCAACGTATCAACTTTTAAAAGTTTATTTATTTGAAAGGCAGTGTGACATAGAGAGGAAGATGGAAGGGAGGAAGGGATGGCAGGGAAAAGGGAGAGAGAGAAAAAAATGCCTCCATCCTCTGGTTCACTGTCCAAATGCCCACAACAGCTGGGGCCAAGGCAGGCTGAAGCCATGAAGCCAGGAGCCAGAAACTCCATTTGGGTTTCCCACATGGGTGGCAGGGGCCCAAGCACTAGGGATGCATTAGCAAGGAGCTGGTTTAGAAGTGGAGGCAGGACTCCGCTATGGGATGCAGGTGTCCTAAGCAGTAGCTTAATCTGCCATGCCACAATGCCCACACCATTTCTTAATTTCTATAAAAATAATTCAAGAATTTATTTTAAATGATTATCGTTCATTCTGCATTTATATTGAAAAGCTAATTTATTTAAGTTTTTAACATATATAAATACTGGAAGAATGTTTAAAGGGAAAACTTAAATAACTATGATAGCACAATAACCAAATGAAGTGCTGAAAAACTTGTTTATTTGTGGTGGTGGTTTTGGCACCTCAGCTACAGCACTAAAAGGGGTAAGAATGATTAGGAAATAAGAATATGGGGGCTGGTGTTGTAACACAGCATGTAAAATCACTGCCTATAACACTGGCATCCCACAGGGGCATAGGTTCATGTTGTGGCTCTTCCACTTCCAATCCAGCTTCCTGCTAATGTGCCTGGGAAAAGCAGCGGAGGATGGCCCAAGTGTTTGGGCCCCTAAACCCACACTGGAGATCCACATAGAGTTCCTGGCTTCTGACTTCTGCCTAGCCCAGCTCTGGCAGTTGTGGCCATCGGGGGAGTAAACCATCAGAGGGATGATCTCTCTCTGTATCTCCCTCTCTCTCTGTAATTCTTTCAAATAAATAAATCTTTTTTTAAAAATTAAGGATACAATTAAGTGTTAAGATCGTAAATGAGATTAAGAAATGTTAAGAATGTAATAAATATAATTAACAATACAACTAAATGTTAACATTTTACTGTTGTATCTTTTACATTTCTTTTGTATAACAAAATAGAACTGTAAGTGAATTTTATGTCGACACTTTAAGAAGTTAGGCTAATTACAATCAGTTCATTTTCTTTTTTACTTGGACTTGAATACAAGTTATAATTAATATACCTACACAAACTTAAAGCCCACTATTAAGAAAAAGTTAAATCTTTGCTTACCCATGTCAACTGCACTTCTAGTTGATGATGAAGAGTTTGATCCAACAATGAACAGTTTTGCTTGGTGACAAAGAAAAGAATATTGATTACTACATTAGGATACACATATACTATGCAATATTAACACTGCTACAAAGATGACAGATAATTGATAATCCTGAATGAATTATTTTTCTATTCCTCATGTAATTTTATAGCTTTCATTTTAAGATATAAAAATATATTTCCATTGTGATTTTAAAGTTAAAACAAAAAGCAAATATTAATTTTCTATTTATTAGAAGGTATCATGTAAACCTATAATATTAAATAAATGTCCTTAACAGCCTAGCACTTTGAAATTAGCTATATAATATCTTATATTTACACTTCTTAATGACTTATCTGACTTTTATCCTTATTTTATCCTTTTATCTGATCAGGTTTGAAATCTTTAGCACTTGAGGAAATGACTACGCATAATTATACCTGAACATGGGAAAGAATAAGTACCTCAAGTGCATGCATTTGCACTGGTGATTCCAAATGTACGACTCATTGTGCCATCTGTGTATACCGGCATTTTTCACATGGGTTGACATGCACATATATCATTTTCATTCAGGATGAACCTTGAGGCTGCTGCCATTTTTCCGCTTAACCACACCAGCCTGGAGGTGAACCTTGGAATTTGTTTCCTAAGTCTTTCAGAAGTTGTTTTGCATCAGTGTTAAAATTTCAAAATGCTGGAGGGTAATTTAATGTACAAAACATTAGAAGTATGTATTGCCTACCTAGTAGAGTAGATGGCAATGTATAAATTCAGTTCAGTGCATGCTTTAGGTTTCAAGCATGGGATTATATGCATTTACTGATAAGTCCTTGCACCTGTGGTGCTAGGTGAACGTGAGAAGATGTCAAGGACTGAAAATATTTTGTTGCCTAAAACAAAGCCTGTTTGTGGGCATATAAAACATGTTTATTTTAAGGGTCTCTCACTACCTACACTATTGCTTTGTGGGCTTGTTGGGTGTATGTGTGTGATACAGTAGTTAAATCTTCGTGCAGAAAAACAAACGTCCTGAATCTTATATTGGTATTCTTCATTGGAAATGCATATCATGCATATAATTTATTTAGAAACATAGAAAATCTTACTAAGTATTTATTCATGTTTTTAGGATTATACTAAGATTTCTTTCTTTTCTTTCTTTCTTTCTTTCTTTTTTTTTTTTTTTGACAGAGTTAGACAGTGAGAGAGAGACAGAGAGAAAGGTCTTCCTTCCGTTGGTTCACCCCTCAAATGGCCGCTATGGCTGGCACGCTGCGCTGATCTGAAGCCAGGGGCCAGGTGCTTCCTCCTGGTCTCCCATGCGGGTGCAGGGCCCAAGCACTTGGGCCATCCTCCACTGCCTTCCTGGGCCACAGCAGAGAGCTGGACTGCAAGAGGAGCAACCGGGACTAGTACCTGGTGCCCCAACCGGAACTAGAAACTGGGGTGCCGGCGCCTCAGACTGAGTATTAGCCTAGTGAGCTGCAGCGCCGGCCTAAGATTTCTTTCATTAGAAGTAGATTATGTTGGCATAACTGTAACTTAAAAATGAATGTTAAATAAAATGACATTTATTTTCTCCATTATAAAATGAAATTTCCAAAAAACAAAAGAAGGTATGGCAGGATCTTAAATTACTAGAAATGTATATTTTTATGAATTAAACATTAATTAAACATACTATAGTCTTTCTCCAATAAAATAAAATGTATACAAAGACTGAATTAGAATGCTATGATGAGAATCAGAAAAAAATCAACAACCCCACTTTCCCAATGTAATCTTTTTTTAAAAAAAGATTTATTTATTTATTTGAAAGTCAGAGTTACACAGAGAGAGGAGAGGCAGAGAGAGAGAGGTCTTCTATCCGCTGGTTCACTCCCCAATTGGCCACAATGGCCTGAGCTGCACCGATCTGAAACCAGGAGCCAGGAGCTTCCTCTGCGTCTCCCACACGGGTACAGAGGCCCAAGGACTTGGGCCATCTTCCACTGCTTTCCCAGGCCATAGCAGAGAGCTGGATCGGAAGTGGAGCAGCCGGGACTCGAACCGACGCCCATATGGGATGCCAGAGCCTCAGGCCAGGGCGTTAACCCACTGTGCCACAGTGCCAGCCCCTCAATGTAATCATTTTCATTTTCAGACATTATCTTCCAGTTTTTGGTCATATGAAGCAAGATGTAACTTTTTTTCTTTTTACTTCTTTTATCCTTATGTAGTAATTTACAGAATAATTTCTATATAGCATTTTGATGCCTTAGAATTTTTTATAATCATGTGCTTACTTTAGAAATAAGGAAAATTTATCAATGTAGAAAGATCAAAAAGAATTGCCAATCTCATCACCCAAAGCAATTACTGTTTAGATTTCTATGCATTTTATTTTTAATGTACAATTTTAGAGACTCATTTTAATACTTGAACATTACTATGTCATTTTTTTGGATATAATATAGTATATGAGTTCCTGCTTTTTGAATATTCTGGTATCAGTTCCAGTTTTCTATTATCACATAAATATAAAGCTAAAACAAACATCTCAGTAACTTTTTGTTAAACATTATACTGAATCATTCCCCAAAGAGGAGTAGGAAAAATGTGATTATGAGCCAAAAGATATAACCTGTTTGTGAATCTTGCTCTATTTTATTTACCTTACATTTACAGAAGATATGTATGGTTTATCACACCACCAACAGTTATGATCTGTTCTCCTGACAACATAGGTTGAGCTTCCCTAATCTGAAAAACCAAAATAAAAAATGCTCCCAAACCCAAAACTGTTTAAGATTTGACACGACATTCACATTTTCAGATTCTGGAGCATTTTGGATTTTTAAATTAGATATGCTCAACTTGTAAACTCTAAGAAAATATTCCAAAATTGGAAAAAACTATGAGATCTGGAACAATTCTGGTCCCAAACACTTTGGATAAGAGATACTCAGACTGAATTTAGGTATCTATCCATATATACACACATATAAATATATATATACACTTTTTTTTTTATTTTTTTTTTAAACTTTTATTTAATGAATATAAATTTCCAAAGTACGACTTATGGATTACAATGGCTTTCCCCATCATACCGTCCCTCAAATGACAACAGGATGGGAAATATTTACCTATTTCAAATCTGACAAGATTAGATCTATAACATAAAATGGACTCCATATAACCAACTCCATAAAGGCAGCAAGGCCAGTAGAAAATGTGAGCAGCACATTAGAACACATAAGTGAAGCCCCACAGGAGTTGAAATAGACTAATAATCAGCAATATGCAGATAAGTGGGCTAGCTCATTATTCACATTGACCAGCAATGACGAGAAGCTTGACGATTCTGAATGGTGGTGAGATTGGGGAGTCATGAGAACCCTCATGTG